GATCCATTTGGTCTCTCAAACTAGAGAAACATTATCACAAAACTCATTTTTTAAGAAGTGGGAGCTACACAAGGGCGTCGCCAGCCAATGGCCCAGGGGGGGGGGGGGGCAAGTTCATATGATGAATGAGAAATGTATAAATTATCCGTAAAGTCAATAGCAATAGCACATTGAATTTTACACGTGTAGTATGGTGACTGTGATAAGAATTATGTGATTATATTTATTTTAACTTAGAGTTTGAATACTATACTACAACTATTTAAAACTGTAATGACTCATACGCGTGATCAACACGTGATCAGAGCTCGATCCCGACTTCCTTCCAGTACAGCCGTATAGCGTACGACATATGTCGTTTCTGTGGCTTTGCGGTGGTCAACAGCACAGACAGAGATGGAAATAATGGCTGATTGTTCTCCGCCGGTAGAACCAATGAAATCAAAGACGCGCCTCGACCGGCAGACTCATACGCGTCGGCAACGCATTGGAACGTGTTTCGTTGAGCGATCGCATATTGTGTGTTTTGTTTTTATAAGAAATGTTGTGTGATTGTTACTGTTGTGGTTTCTGTGGTTACTGTTTTGGTTATACTTAACCATGGAGAGTACAAATGGCACGAGTGGAAGTACTGAAAGCCAGGGAACAAGTAGACGGCTTCGTAAAGCACTGAAGAGGGACGCGAAAGAAATCGTGCTCAACGTGTTCAATTATCTGAACAGAACTATGTCGCAGGGAGATGCACTCGCGCGTTGTGAAAGTATGACAGGCGTTCCAGAGTGGACCATTCGCAGGGTGGTGCATGAAAAGAAGAAAACTGGAGCTACTACTGATCCAAAGTTTAATTTGAAGGGACGAAAGGCCGTTAAATTGGATGACGATAGCAAAATGGCAATAGAGCTCATCTGGGCTCAAGTGAAGGGTTATATTGCGCGCCATAACACAACCTTCAAATTACCAGACGTTAAGGTTTTACTTGAGACTTCCATACAGCTAGTAACGCCCGAAGCTTGGCAGAATGCTATCCGTCATGTTGTGAAGGAAGAAACAAAAATGTGGCAGCTTGACCACCACATCGACACCATCATAGAGCCAGTTATAGTCAATTTCAACGAGAAAAGCGATAGCGACAGTTTATTACTGTCAGATGTAAGTGGAAGCGACGATGAATAAAGGTAATTCCCAAATTTTTGACTTACAGTATTTTTCAAACCACTCTTTATTAAGCATGTGACAAATCTAGTTCACCCATGTTAAACATTCATACCCCGCCTATGAACAGCCGACTACTGGTAGTTAAGTGATGTTCACGTGAACATCGATGAGTCATTACAGTTTTAGATAGTTATAGTATAGGAATGGAAATGGTGAATTCGTTAGAGATTCGACGGGTCGGAATGAACGATCAAGTACGTTAAGTGAGTGTACTTATGAACTTTATTCATTTGCATTTCACTACATTTTTCAGGGTCTCTAGGGGTGGGGGGGCAACTGCCCGCCCTGGCGACGCCCTTGGAGCTGCACGTTAAATGATGGCAACACCATTGACCGATGGTTGCGCCGTCTACTTGCCTGGAGATCTGAAGGAACTATCGAAGAAATGCCGACAATGCCATCTCTTTCAGCAGTTTTGCTTCGAGTTCAAAGACGTCGTTTTGCTACTACGCATCAGATCGCTGACCAATAGTTTGGAGAAGACTATGCGTACACTCTGTCGCCGCATTCGAGGCTTTGGTCTGTTTTCATACCGTCCACGGTTGGTGCTTCCTCTGACTGCGGACCACTGTCGTCAACGTTTGAACTGGAGCAGAGAACGGCAACATTTGGAGACAGAATGGCATAGTCATCTTCAGCGACGAATCGCGATTGAACGTAGAAGGGTAAGACGCTGCCGTGGAGAACGGCGTGATATTGGATTTACTGTTGAGAGACATGTACACAGGTCTGTTGGAGTGATGGTTTGGGGGGCTATTGCCTATATGTTAGCTCTTTATTCAAGGCAATACGACTGCTGCGCGTTATGTTGATCATGCCCTACAAACCACTTTACTGCCATATCTATAGGGCCTTCGACACGTCCTTTCTTCAAGAAGCAAGCGTCAATGTTTTTCCGTAGCCACCCAACTCACCGGATTTAAATCTCATCGAACATTTGTGGGATATGATGCGGAGAAGACTCCGATTTGCACCATCCGCCACATTCAAGTTTTTATCAATAACATAGGATTTGTCCGACCACTAGAGCTGTCCTACGATTTACTGGCACATTCACCCTATATGTCGGAATGCCCTTCCGTCATCGACGCCACTGTTCGGCTTTTCTTGTTCACCTCTGCTGCGCTCGTGCACTTATTGTTGATATGGGCGAGGTGCACAAAAAACCTTCCTCTTGCTCCGGGTCCTTGGCTTGCGCAGCGCTGCGCGTTTTCGCTGCAGGTTCTTGCGCTCTCCGCTTCGCAACGACAGACAGGTCTCTCGTGAATGGAAAGGAAAAGGACGTTGACAAAGAACGCATGCACCATGTCCATTTGTGATATGCATGATGCATGAATATGGAACAATACAGCAGGTTTTCGGGTCGTTCTTGCTGGTTACGGCGGGGTTGAGAAGTAATGAGGTTCATTCATTTCGTTAGGCGCATACATATCCAAGGAAGTTCTGCAATCTCTGGGGTCTGGGCACATTTTAGTAAGGTTAATGCTTAACCCAAAGCGGACAAAGTGCAATTACGGCTTTTGTATTCAAGATAACACAACTAATGCTTTTGGAGGTCATCATACTTGATAAATTTTCACCGACAACAAATACATTGCTTATAGATGTTCCTGTAATTATATAAAAAAAATAATAAAAAACTGCTATTTTGCCAGTACTAGGACAGAAAGTGCTACAAACACACTCATACTGAGTTCATTTAATATAGATATTTTTATCGACAATACATACAACCTAGGTAAAAATTAACAAAAAACTGACTTTTTCCTCTATTCCGGTCTTTGAACTACCATACTGTTTATATATTTCAAGCAATTTCCCAACATGTTTCACAGTTTCGACTGCCTCCTTTAGCTTGCCTCCACTATATATACAGGATTTATTTTGTTCATGATATCCATTCCCGAATGAAGCGGAAATGTGAAATTTTATTTCAAATTGTCCTGTTAGCGCCATCTGTTGGGAGACTCTCCTAATCGCCGGAGCTTTATGACCGATCTCTGCTTTTACGCGGACCACGACCGCACAAGCCGCTTGGCGACATCTGTTGAGGACCGTACCAGTGACTCGCCTTCTAGATCGACGCGAAGTGACCTTGAATATTCTAGATGCCGCTATGTGGCTGGCCAGACCTTTCTCGAAATAGCGATGGGGCCCATATATAACTCGACCGCCGGGAGATGGAAGCAGAGTACAGAGTACGGTAGAGTAGCAGAGCCGAGTGGAGTATAGTCCAGTCAATGGCGCGAATTAGTTAGACATAAATAGTGGTACATAAATGTTCTATCTAGTTCATTTCTTTTTGTGGAATCCAGTGTTTTAATCCACACCCAAAAGAACCCAGAAAACGCTACAATATCACTGGCTACAATCCGCAATTTGTTATCTGTCGCTGTCGGTCCACTGGCTGGGGCTTCAGCTGTATTTTGGTTTCTTTAATTCCAATAGAAAAGTTTGAAAAGAAAAAGGAAGATTGATAACGACCTCGCCATTCGGAGAAGGATCCGACTATTGAATTTTAACTATACCCTATATCACGAGTACCCAACACGGTTTGACGCGTTGGTTTGACGTCTACTGAGGTGAACAGCTGATCAGCAGGTGACATTTTTGTGTTAGTCTGCGACGTTGGCAATAGTGAATCAGGTGTAAATCTAGTAAAACTTGTTTGTAGCGTTTCGTTTTTTGTATGAAAATGAACTTTTCTAAATAAAAGAGCTGTTAGCAAGTACAAAATGAATCTGTGGCGTACAAAAAAACAAAACAAAATACGGTTCTGACTGGATGGCGTTGACGGATCCGTCAGAATTGTGTCCTGTGCCGATATGGGGAATTTTGAGATATTACTAGATAATCGGCTGTCATTCTATCGTGATGGATACTCGTCAAATAGGGTGTAGTATGATGATCCAGTCAAAATCTTAAAATAACCTATTAAAATTAATTTATTTCGTAAATTTTTAATGTCATCATCCACAGCCGATATTCATTCACAATTATTAGAGCTGGCGTTCACTAGTATGAGTGTCTAGGAATAACTTAAATAAATTAAGTGCCTTTGCGAATAGTCGCTCCTGAAGATCAGCGATTGAATCGTCAGCCCTCCGAAAATACTCTTCCGGCGACTCAGCAGGTACCGTTTCCTGTCAATCAAATGAAACAGCGTTTCTCTGATTGTGTCAGACAAAAAGTATTTTGGTAAATTTGCTCACAGCGCGTGAAAAGCTTTTTTCATCCGAATGTCTGAATTTTCAATTAATCACACAACAGGCTCAATTTCCAATAAAGCACTAACGAATATGCAGCGCTACCAAGCCGAAAAACGCAGAATCACTATAATTATTATTTATATTTACGCCAAGCTGAACGTATAGGCAACCAGACTTACGCAATCCTCTTTTTTCACGCAATTAGCGATGTGTTTACAGGGTTGCCAGGTGTGTGATTTTTCACAAAATCTGGTGATTTTTAGATCCATTACATATTTGAAAAAAGTTCTGTATTTTATTAAATTTATCAAAGAGATCCGAAAGTCATATTGATGGTTCAAGTAGATTCGCCCTCTGGATCCGCGCTTGTAATTGTATGGACCTGTTTGGCTGACTTGATCTTTTTAATTTCTCTGTTGTACATGTTATTATCTAACTTTTTTCTCACAGGGTTTATCTTTTGCTGAACATAATCCTTTATGAACTGATGGCATTTCGTGGGAAGTGGAGCGTCAATCTACTTGACGACATTTTTTAAATGAGACCGTCCGTTAGATTAGATCACAATGAAACGCATTTTTCAACAACCAAACAAGTTTAATATAGGATAAAGTGTGACCAGATACATTGTATCACACATTTATTGCTTTGATTACAATTCTGTTCATATACATTTGATATATCCTCCAAAATCAACAAAAACAAAGATTTCTACTTCGAATTATGAGAAATATCGATAGGAATCTGAACAATCACTGATATGCACAACACATCCAATATTACACAGTAAGGCAAAGTGAAACTTTTTTTGCGAGCTTGCAATTTTGAAAAATTTCCAAAAAATTTTCTTTTTTTAATTACACCAGATTTTTAGCATCCCCAGAATTTACTTAATTTTCAAAATTCTCAAAACTTTCAGTAGATATCAAAATTTTCAGTCTGCAAAACCTTCAATTTACTGTCAAGATCTTCAAAATTTTTCAACGCATTCATGATTTTCAAAGTTTTTGTAATTCTCAACTGATCAGTTTTCAAAATTCTGGGATTTTCAATTTTGAAAATTCACAAAATATTCAAATTATTCAATGTTACCAAAATTTTAATTTCAAAAATTTGCATGTATTTCAAAACCAATTTTCAAAATCTTCAAAGTTTTAACGATTTTTGCAATGTTCATGATCTTCAGAATCCCCAAAACTTGAAAAATTTCATGGTATTCAATAGTCGTTAAAATTTTAAAAACCTTGTAAATCTTTTAAACTGAGGATTTGGAGACTGAACATTTTAAAAACTGAAAATTATTCAAACATTTCGGAGTTTCAAAAATTCTCATAATTTTCAAACTTCCAATTTTGAAAAACATTGAATAATTCGTAAATTTTGAAAACATTAAATAATTCGTAAATTTTTAAAATCATGAACATTTTTGATGCTGAGAAAATTTTGCAAATTTTGAGGCTCCTAACAATATAAAAATCGTTCAAATTTGGGAAACTTTGAAAATCATGTGAAATGAAGGCTTTGAAGACTGATAATTTCAAAAATTGGCAATTATTCAATGTTTTCAAAATTTTCTGATTTCCAAAAATTTACAAACTTCCAATTTTGAAAATTCTGAAAATTTTGAAAACACTGATAATTTGATCGTGACAATATTAAAATCGTTAAAGAAAATTTAGAATTATATTTTTTTTTCAAAGTACCCAGTTTCCAAGATTTTTTGAATTGAGTTTTTAAAATTTTGAAAAAAGCAGAAAGCCCATGGTGAGAACTGTTGGAGCCTACTGCGAAATGCAAATATTAATTATTCGTTCAACATCTGCACTTGCCCCCCAAAAGTCGACTATAAATGTTGACCTAAATGAACTTGGATACCTTCAGTGCCAACCTGCGAAAATAAACTCGTTTCAGAGAAATACGCACAAGATCCATATCCATATCAATTCAATATAATTTTCTGTGTAATATCAGATATGCACATTTAGGTCCATTTAGTCATCGACAGTGTCAATGTTTTCTACATGGTTGTCCTCTTCAGCTTCAGTAGCTGTTTCTGTAGGTTGTTGATTAGATGAAACCTCAGGTACCAATACAGGCACGTCCCTGCTTCTTTTTGCCGATTTTGACGTTCCCACTGGCGTCAGAGGTTGATCTTTGTCGTCTTCCATCGACGGACACTCGAAATGTACACAGTGGAACACCTGAAAATATTTCAAGATGGAATCCGAATTTTTCATCCTCAGTAGTTTCGTTCTTTAGTCATTTTTCCACAACCACCAAATAGGTTAAAAAAAAATTGATTTAAATTTGTCAGATCATGATGTTGTCAATTTCGAGTAGCATTTGAGGGTCACTTCATTGAGGTATTCTGAAGTGTACCATCTGATCCCATCACCAAATTACCTCATTAGCAGTATTGTGCGTCCCGACAATCCTGATGAAAACAACGGGCCTAGGCGCGAATCTGATCACTTGCCATGACTTGCAATTTTCCCTCGTTTTGTCTACCACCATTTCCCATTCCCAGACATTCGTCGACGATTCTATGTAGTAGCTGTAACTCCTATCATCACAATCCCAGAGCAACAAGCGCAAACTGCTGATTATGTAAGGCTGACCTGAAACAAAAAAAGTTACATGTATTCAGAAACTTGCATGGTGATTTAAAAATGATCAATTTCAACCTAAATACGATTTTCAACTCAAATGCGCTTACAGAAATCCTAGAATATCTGTTGCCGTTTTGTTTGTATACTAAGTGACATATAAATCCGAACACCCAGTTTAAATGGTTTTATTTTAATAAAAGTTGGTGAATGTATTTATCTTACTGTAAATAACAAGTGAAAAATTTTTCAGCCTTATCAGTTGGACATTCCGTTTTTTATACTGCTTTTTTTTTAATTCACTAACGCTAAAATGAATATTTCAGCCGCAGTAAAGAATCAACGTTGGCAGATTTTGGTTCTTGACATCCTTTACGATCGGTTACGATGCCTAGAGTACGGAGACCTGTACGATTTCGTCAACTTAGTGAGTTTGATAGGGGCCGTATAGTGGGACTTCGGGAAGCTGGACTTTCTTTTCGGGCAATTGCAGTTAGAATGCAAAGAAGTGTAGACACTGTGGTTAGGTGTTGTCAGGCATGGCTTCGAGAAGGCCGTACGCAAAGAGCAAGCGGCACTGGACGCCGCCGTAGAACAACAGACTGTGAAGATCGCCGCCTAAGATTATTGGCCTTAAGGGACCGTTTCTCCACTACCAGGTCCATTGCAAATGAATGGTTTGCAGAACACGGAAGACCTATTCGCATGCGAAGTGTTTACCGACGAATGAGAAGTTTTGGCTTGTTTTCATACCGGCCACACTGGGTGCTCCCTTTAACTCGAGAACACCGACGTAATCGCCTTGAGTGGTGCAGACAACGGTCACTCTGGGATCAGGAATGGAACAGTATTGTCTTTAGTGACGAGTCTCGATTTTGTTTAGGCATGCACGATGGTCGTGCCAGGGTTAGAAGGCGACGGGGTGAAAGGAGGAATCCACAGTTTTTTGTTGAAAGACATGTTCATCACACTGTTGGAGTTATGGTTTGGGGTGCTATAGCTTATGGTTCCAGGTCACCTTTAATCTTCATCAGAGGTAACATGAACGCGCAGCGTTATATCCACGAAGTTCTAGAACCCCATCTTTTACCCTATCTTGACACCATGGCAGATCCAACTTTCCAACAAGATAAAAAAGCAGTATAAAAACCGGAATGTCCAACTGATAAGGCTGAACATTTTTTCACTTGTTATTTACAGTAAGATAAATACATTCACCAACTTTTATTAAAATAAAACCATTTAAACTGGGTGTTCGGATTTATATGTCACTTAGTATATTCGTATACAATATTTTTCATTTAAAGTAGATAAATAAATTGAAATGAATGACATTTATCATGTGATGACTCACCTAGTTGTATCAGGATCGAACCTGAACCTAATTGATGACACGTATATCCAGAATCCCAATCATAACGTTTTGTATCTCCATTCAATAGAGCATTTCTAGCGCGACTGTAACAAACAAGAAGAATATTTTGTTGAAAAACACTAACATTACAGATACAGAATCAGTTAGATAGTTTTGCAATAAATTAGACTATTTTTGTGTTCTCAAAGCTCAAAACCTGTTTATAACTTACCTCACGCCTTCTATAACGACGGCGCTCCTGTCTAAAGTTGCAACATTATAGGTAGGACAAATCACATTATTTACCATTCTAGGAATTTTTAGTTTGCACATGGCATCAAATGATACAAGATGGAATACCTAAAAAAATGTATTTTCCATTGATTATAAAGATAGCCAACCTAAATTATCCGTAGCTGTAGCACCATCTCAAATAATGTTTCTTAAGGGTAATAAATTAGTAATTTGCATTTATTAAGTCAGAATGTGAGATTTATGATACCTTATTTACAGTGTTGTGGGTTCCAACAATCCTTACATACTGTACAACCCTGTTCTCAAAATACAGGTACTGCCAAGACCTACAATTATACTGGGTGTAATCTACCACTCTCACCCAATCTTTTTGCTCCATAGAAACCTCAATGTAATATGAATACGATCTGAAATATGTATACGATGATTATGAAGGTATCCTCAATTATAGTGGCAAATAAAATTTGAACTTTTTCTTTACCTTATATCTCTATCCCATAGCAACATTCTGATATGGTTGATTATGGATGGGGTGCCCAATTTGACGATGATTCCATGATCACCTGGACCACTTATAGCATGCCTAGTATACCCTTTTTCCATATCGTATGTAAAGTAGTCCCCATCCAGCAAATATTCCATGAGTTCCCCAGATATTACTTTTGATCCAAGCTTCGGTGAAGCCACATTTTCATCAATTACTGGAAATATTTCATAACAATAGTAACTGTCTCAAAAGAAATGAGAGGTCTGTAAAGTAAGCGATGAGACTGAATTTTTTTATTCAAATATTATATTGTCACCCTCAAAATAACTTTCTGCTGAAGCCAAAAATAAAAAAAATCATAGGTTATCTACCATTTTAATTTCTTCCTTTTATCTTGCACATTTTAAAATGCACAAACGAACTGTAACAGTTTAATAAGATTAAGAAATGATGAACACACTTTCAAAAATATGAATTACAAAAAAGCACTGAAGTAATCATAGATTATTATCAGATAGCTGAACGAATTTTAAAAATACTCAAAATCGGTGGAAGTTTAAAAATCTCAAAAACTGCCATTTTCCAAAAAGTTTTTTACCAATCACCAGATCTGATGAAATTTCTCCAGACCTGGCAACACTGATCGCATGTTCTCTTTCTCCCCTCCACGTCCTGCGCCTCCAATGTTGCCAGATCAAACGCTACGTTGCCAGTCACGCCACTTAATTTACAGACCTTGTACATGTGCATCAAAAGTGATGTGAAGACTTTTTCGAGAATGACAGGTTGGAATAAAATACAAGCTTACGCAGTTGTCCACGGTGTGGCAGCTTACTCAATCTAATATTCGTTCTTTCTGCAATAGCATCGAGCAACGTGTCAGGGTTTACTAGTCTTGCAGGTCTCACCACAGACAGAATGTCTGCCACACTCATCAAGGGTAATCTGAAAGGATAAAAGGTTTCGATTAAACGACTAGGTTGAACTAGTGAGATGGAGGAATTTACCTAACGCATTTCATGACTAGGTCATCCTTATCTTCATTTACTTTGCACCAGTTGCATACTCCTCTGAAAATGTCGACTTCGGGTGCGAAAAACGAATCTCTCTGCAGCAGTTCAACCAGTGATGCCTAAAACATGAAATAAACTAAGGTCAGAAGATGTAAGATATTGTGCTCTGCTAGTTCATTGCAATGACCTTCAAGTGATCTTGAATGTGAAGGTCAGATTAAATGTGACCTTGAGATAATCTGGAAACACTGTTATCCAAGTTCTGCTATAATATAACTTGTAGTTTGTACAAAATTCTGCAATATCTAAAGTAGTTGACCATCATGTGTATATTGTACATTGTTGTTACAAGATAATGGATATAAAAGAACTAATAAAAGTCATTTCTTCATTATTATATGATAATAATGTTTTTAGATGTTTGTGTACTTATGATAACATGCATAAATACTAAGAACTGTTCTTTCAGGCTAAAAAAGTGCTCAATCTAGGTATGTAATGTACTATATCCACAAAAAGAATCATAAAGCTCACCTGTGAAAGTTGTAAGAAAGACTCGTGTGCCAAAATGTCAGCTGCATTTCTATCCAAAAAGTTATGACATACTTTGACTAAATTTTCAAGCCCGTACAAATGGGCTGTATCCAATATAGCACAAACGTTTCTCAGTGCCAGTAACTGTTTCAGAATCTCAGATATTGCTGTTTCTAATTCTTGAAATCCGTACTGATGCGCTAAGCCGAGGGTGTCCAAAATAACATCTTCTTTCAATGTAGTTAAGAACATGTAGCCTGTGTATATGTATTTGAGTAAAACTTTGAATGCCCGCAGAGGCGCGTCGGGCAGAACGATTTCATCTTGAGTTGATTCTCGCAGGCCCCCGTATAAAAGAGCTCTAAAGTAGTCGCTTCTAGCTGCTAGGATGACCTACAGAAGATAAAATTAGGCAAATATTCACAATTGTTAAAATTGATGTTGTTTACCTTGTGGGCATTTAATTTTTGCCCTTCGACCACCAGAACGATGTCTGAATACTCCTGATTCAAGCACAATGCAGAAAGGTGCTCCGAAAGTTGGGAAAGGTGCTCAATATCACCGATTCTAGAAGGTTTCGCATTCGAGTTTTGTAAATATTGATGGCTACCACTGCTCATACTGAAATCCAAAGGTTGATTCGTCCTTTAATTTGATACATGCATCATCCACTAACAATCACTGGATTTTTAAAACGAGCACGACAAAAAGATCTGTTTAGTTTACAGATTTGTTGCCAAAATTTCTGACATTACTGAAATTTCGTTCTAACAAATCACGGAACAAATAACTATAGATTATAGAAAACTTAAGCATTCAAGAGTTTGGTGTATTGGAAAAGAACACACGTTACTCTGCCGCCATGTTGGTTCTCATCAAGCTTCTGCCATCTTTATTCCATAGTTGGGATGAAAATGGTTGACATAACTTTATTTGGCAATCACTTGCTCTTCTGTCTTTGATTTCGTTTCTCTTGTTCCATGATTTATTTTTGTTCTTTGATCTGGTTTGTATTTCACTTTTTACCGCCTTTTTCAAGTTTGGTTGGTTGGAAAAAATTCCTTGTAGACTCATGCGATCTGGTGTTTGGGTATCCTCAGCTAGTGAGATTCAGCTGGTCCACGGCCGAGAACGCTCTTAAAGATACTGCGTATCACGTAGAGTTTGAGGAGATCGAGAAACAAGATAAGAAGGATGCCCCACCCGCAAATAACATGTCTATTACATCGTTCTTCAAAATGACTAGTAAACCATCAATAGTGAAAAAAGAACATGAATTTTTTGCTCGGAGATGTTTGACAAGAAAAGTAGAATTTTAATGTAGCAATTTTTGTTCAAACTAATTTTATCCAACATGTGTCCCTATCAGTTTTAGTGGAATAAGTTTAACGTCAACTTTACATTCAGTTTACTGATTAAAAAATAGCGAGTAACATCATGTCTTTATTCTATCCCTATTACTTTTATTACACAATTGTTAAAATTGATGTTGTTTACCTTGTGAGCATTTAATTTTTGCCCTTCGACCACCAGAACGATGTCTGAATACTCCTGATTCAAGCACAATGCAGAAAGGTGCTCCGAAAGTTGGTAAAGGTGCTCAATATCACCGATTCTAGAAGGTTTCGCATTCGAGTTTTGTAAATATTGATGGCTACCACTGCTCTTACTGAAATCCAAACGTTGATTCGTCCTTTAATTTGATACATGCATCATCCACTAACAATCACTGGATTTTTAAAACGAGCACGACAAAAAGATCTGTTTAGTTTACAGATTTGTTGCCAAAATTTCTGACATTACTGGAATTTCGTTCTAACAAATCACGGAACAAATAACTATAGATTATAGAAAACTTAAGCATTCAAGAGTTTGATGTATTGGAAAAGAAGACACGTTACTCTGCCGCCATGTTGGTTCTCATCAAGCTTCTGCCTTCTTTATTCCATAGTTGGGATGAAAATGGTTGACATAACTTTATTTGGCAATCACTTGCTCTTCTGTCTTTGATTTCGTTTCTCTTGTTCCATGATTTATTTTTGTTCTTTGATGTAGTTTGTATTTCACTTTTTACCGCCTTTTTCAAGTTTGGTTACCTGAACATATTTTGTAAACACAGTTTGTTGTTATTTGGAAAATAAAACTTATAAATTCAGTGTATAATGGCAGAATGCGATGGAAAATCCAGTCCTAAATTTAAGACGAACGTTATAAAATCTCTAGATACGTTAGAAAGCTATATTTCCGAAAGGGACAACTCAGAAGATGTCTTTTATTTATCACCAGTACCTGATCTGTGTAAAGAATATCCATGTATTTTAGGAATAGACGAAGCTGGAAGAGGACCTGTGCTTGGTAAGTTTATCGTTCAGTATATCGGGAAGTAATACTGAAGAAATAAACTTTTTTAGGGCCAATGGTATATGGTACATCATTTTGCCCAATAAATGAGCAAATGATACTGCATAAATTAGAATGTGCCGATTCCAAACAGCTTAATGAAGAAAAAAGAGATGATATATTCAAAAACATGCTAGAAAACTCTGATAAAATAGCCTGGGGCATTGAAGTTATATCTCCAAACTCAATTTGCAACAGTATGCTGAGTCGTTCGAAATATTCACTGAACCAAGTATCTATGGACGCAGCAATAAAGCTTATTAGAGCAGCAATAGACAGCGGTGCAAAAATCCAACATATATTTGTCGACACAGTAGGGAAGCCTGAGAAATATCAGGCGTATTTGAAGACTATTTTTCCTAGCTATGAAATAACCGTAGCCAAGAAAGCTGATTCAACTTATCCTATTGTATCAGCTGCTAGTATATGTGCAAAAGTATCTAGGGATCATGCTTTAAGAGTATGGGAATTTACAGAAGGCCTGGAGATCAAGTCTGAAGAATTTGGAAGCGGATACCCAGGAGGTAAGACTTCAATAACTTGATAATTTGCTTATTCTTATTATTGATTGATGAAGATAGCCAACCATCTTGTATTCTGGCATCCATAAAGGTACTAACATTATTTATGAGGCAATAGTAGAACACAAAAATTAATTTTTGAAAAGAGTCTGTGAATAGTTTTTCTACTGTATGACAGATAGGGTTCTTTAATCCCATTTTGGCCACAAATTATGATTATTGCCAAGTCTGAATTTAATATTTTTAAAGCAGTGTCTATATTTTCATGTATATTAAGGTATCCTCTGCAAATATCTGAATTTTATAATCTGAAATACCAAAAATGTCATTAATGTATAAAATAAATAGTAGGGGACCTAGTTTGCTACCTTGTGGTACACCAACAGAAATATTTTTTGAGCTTGATATTGTAGATGCAATTTTGGTTTTTTGACTTCTGTCAATTGAGCAGTTTTGTAGAATTTTGAATACTCATCCTATAAATCCATAGTGATGCAATTAAGTAATTTATCCCTGTCAATAGTTTCAAACGCCATTTAGAAGTCCAAAAACACTGTCACTGTATGTTTCCTATTGTCCATACATCTCGTCCAGTCCTCTAAAATCATTTGTATTGCCATTGCAGTTGAGTGTTTCTTCCTGAATCCAGCTTGAAATTTGATTAAAATTCTATTTCCCTTAATGAATTTGATAATTTGTCCGTAAAAATTTCTTCAAATACTTTTGAACATCTGGCAGATCACTTATTGGTCGCATATTAGTGTAAAACTCAGAATTCTTAACTTTCAAAACAGGAGTTATGGTAGAACACTTCAATTCGTTCGAAATTCGCCATATTTTAAACAGTAATTTATCAGGATTAATATTTTTGCTCCAATAATATCAAAACATTCATTAGACAAAATCTCACTCTCATTTTGATTTGATTTCTTTTTTGATATACAGTGAAAGCTCCCATAAGCGGACACTCCTCACGGTTCCGTAACTTTTGTCCGCTTATGGGAGGTGTCCGTTTAAAAGAGAGTATGTAAGTATAGAGTATAAATAACGGGGTATATAATCATGACAAAAACATAAATGCTTCAATACCTGGTACGAGAATTTATAAAAAACATTATTCTTTAGCTTGTTGAAAAAAGTTTAAAATGTTTGTCTGACGAAATTTCACCATCTTTTGCTGAAGGAGACAATTTTCGTAATAACTTTCTAAATTTTTCAAATGTTGAAATGCAGTGAAATTATCTTTAGCAAATTTTTTCAATATAGAAATATGATTTAGAGCTTCCCCATATGAATTTATCGTTTTTGAACCGCTTAGTGAGTCCACCAGTTCCACTTCTTCTTCTGAGTCGTTTGGACTACCATATTCAAGTTGGCCTGGGCTTTCTACATCCAAATTCGAAAAGTTGCCAATGGCATTTTCTTCTGTTGTTATGTTATTGTCTATGGCCAGGAAATCATCTACTTTCTGGGGATCTGCTACTCCTAAATGTTTGGCATGTCGCAGTAACTGAGCAAGTGTCGCTAAGGGCAGATCGTCTTCAGCATCGCAATAATTTTGCTCAGCAAATTCTGAGCTACATTCACTTTTTTTGAATCCAGCTTTGCCAAAACAGTTTTTAATTGTAGAGGAATTTACTTTATTCCATGCTGTTTTTATAAAATACAAAGCTTCTAACACATTGATAGACTTTGTAAGCTCAGATAAGCTTTGACCATCGTCAATTTTTGTTAAAATATGTTTTAAAATCAAGTGCCGATAATAAAATTTAAAGTTCTGTATGACACCTTGATCCATGGGCTGACAAACAGAAGTTGTGTTTGGCGGTAAAAATATAAATTTCACATTTTTCATTTTCATATCACGAGGATGAGAGCATGCATTGTCTAAAAATAAAAGAACTTGCCTTTTTTGGATTCTCATTTTCCGGTCGAATTCGACTAACCACTCAGACATGATTTGTCGGGTCATCCATGCCTTTTTGTTGGATTTCCAAGTCGCTGGTAGATCCTTAATAGCAACGTTTTTTAAAGCACGGGGACGAGCCGCTTTCCCAATCACAATCAAATCGCATTTTTCACTGGCCATATTTGCACAGAATAAAATGGTTAGTCTATCTTTAGACAACTTTCCACCCACACATGTTTCTCCTTTAAAGGACAGAGTTTTGTCGGGCAATGCGCGAAAAAAAGTCCACTCTCATCTGCGTTGTACACATCTTCTGGTTTGTAGCCAAGCAACATGGACGGAAGTTTCTCCAAAAATTGTGACACATCAACTTGATCTACTGCAGCAGCTTCGCCAGATATGCATTTGAAACTCACACTATGTCTCTTGCGCCACTTTTGCAGCCACCCGTCGGACGCACTGAAATTATTATAGCCCAAAGTAGTGGCGATTTCTTTAGCTTTCATTTTCACTAACGGCCCTGAGATTGGAATGTTCTGACTTCTAGCTTTCACAAACCACTCAAAACATGTTTTGTCTATAGCAAAACCTTCCTTTTTTAAAAAATCCTTCTTTTGATTTATATTAGTTCCTGATTGCCATTTACTCCTGATATCTTCCTTATTTTTGGCAATTTCAGCTGCTTGCGTTTTCCCAATATTAAACCTCTTTGCCAAATGACGAACTGAAACACTTTCTCTGTCTAATACGTTAACAACTTCCATCTTTTCCTTTAACGAGAGCATCCTTTTTTTTGGTGCCATTTTACAGTTACAATAATAAAATACGTAACTCAATCAACTACGAATTTGCCTGAACTGAAGACAAGCCACAAGATTACATACAGGCTACCCAACGAAATGCGTAAATGGGGAATCACCTAATATAAATCGGGGAATTACCGAATTTTATGTATGTAGATATGTGCATTGCAATAAGCGGAACTAAAAAATCGTCCGGGTATTAGAGTTTCGCGTCCGCTTATGGGAGATTTTTTGATCACATACAGGAAAATCTAACATTGAAAATTGATGGCTGAAATTCGGTTCCAGGAACTTTGTCCGGTTAAAAGAGATGTCCGCTTATAGGAGCTGTCCGCAAGGAGAGCTTTCACTGTAATTTTCTGGAGATGTTTTTTGTTCAAAACTCACTGCATGATGCATTATAATCTGATCTGACAGGATATTGGTTGGGATCCCTGTCAATAATTGATCTTACAATGCCGTTTAAACTGTCTCCTCAATTACCATAGGCATTAAAGGCTCGCCAAAAAGTGATTGAAGACGCTAGCACCATCTATGAGGCAGTAGCACAAACACTAACTCTTTTCAAATTAGTTTTTTAAATACATTTTTGGGTACATGTTGATCAATGTTTTTACTCGTTTCAGATCCTGTGACGAAAAAATTCCTTGTAGACTCATGCGACCTGGTGTTTGGGTATCCTCAGCTAGTGAGATTCAGCTGGTCCACGGCCGAGAACGCTCTTAAAGATACTGCGTATCACGTAGAGTTTGAGGAGATCGAGAAGCAAGATAAGAAGGATGCCCCACCCGCAAATAACACGTCTATTACATCGTTCTTCAAAATGACTAGTAAACCATCAATAGTGAAAAAGGAACATGAATTTTTTGCTCGGAGATGTTTGACAAGAAAAGTAGAATTTTAATGTAGCAATTTTTGTTCAAACTAATTTTATTCAACATGTGTCCCTATCAGTTTTAGTGGAATAAGTTTAACGTCAAGTTTACATTTAGTTTACTGATTAAGAAATAGCGAGTAACATCATGTCTTTTTTATTCTATCCCTATTACTTTAGCGACAATGCCTCATAAACTTGAATTTCGGTAGAGATTGATGGGTGAGGTCTGCAAAGAGGATATCAGATAGGAGTGCCACAAGGTTCTGTCCTAGGCCCCATACTCGTTCTCATGTCTATTAATGATCTCCCAAATAATGGGTTCATGCCCAAGTATACTCTCTTCTCTATGAGAGAAATAAATATCCAAAATGAAGATGTTTATGTTCAAAACTTTCAAGTGTGATGTACCATGTAAGGGCTCTCATGCTTTGAGACTTTTGTTCTGTGTCACGACGTTTGCAAACACGTTTTTGTATTAGCATGAACAAATGAAATAAAAAAAGTAATCACTCAAAATGGCTTTATTAAATACAATAACATATGTGTGAAGTAGCACTTTCTACAATGATAAATTGATAAACCATCCCAAACACATAAGTAATATTTCTTGATAATAACAAACAAAACTGCTGCTCTCTTTATCTTCTGTCGGTTTTTCCGACTCCCCTCTTTCCAGAAAACAAGTGCTTGGGCATTTTGGTTCCAATGAATCTGTCAGCTTCACCTTTGAGACCCATCTTCTTGACCTTTTTGCTGATAGCTCTGTGGGCGATTTTGGCCAACTTTTTCTTCATCTGGAAAAAGGAGAACACAGTATTAAGATTGGCAAATCCATACGTAGAAGATGCAATCATTCTTCGAGAATTGCGTACATTTCCAATATATACTCAGAAGTGTTACCCAGAAAAAATAATTTCTTCAACTTTGATAGGCGCTTCAGAAAACTAGCCCGAAGAGACCGTTTTGCGTCGGATCGTTGACGGATGGTTTGGAGAAAGTAGACCTGTTACTATGCGCGCATTCCAGCTTTTGGACTTTTTCAATACCGTCCACGGTTAGTGCTTCCTCTGACTGCGGACCACTGTGTGGGTGCAAGCCGAAAATGCAGCGTTCGTTAGAACAGAGGTTCGCGATTAAATTCTGTGTGAAACTCGGTAAATCTGCGACAGAGACGTTTGATATGATCAAGCAGGCTTACCCAGGTGTTGCTTTAGCAAGAAATGGTGTGTTTCGGTGGCACCATGCCTTTTTTTGGAGGGACGGGAAGAGGTCGCTGATGAAGACGACCTTCGACTTCGACAAACACCGATAATGTGACTCGTGTGCGCAAAGTTTTGAACTCAGACCGTCGACTAAGTATTCGTTTAATTGGCCAGATGTTAAATTTACCAAAATCTGTGGTTCATGACATTGTGACACAGTATTTGAACATGCGCGAAGATGGCCCCAAAAGTGCTCACTGACGCCCAGAAATTGCGGCGAGTGGAAGTGTGCCACGAAAATTTGAACATGTGTGAAAGTGACCCCCAATTTTTGAATAACGTAATCACAGGTGACGAGTCGTGGATCTTTGAGTATGATCCCGAGACAAAGAGGCAATCTTCCGAGTGGCACACGACGGCGTCTCCTCGCCCAAAAAAGGGAAGAATGAGGAAATCCAAAGTGAAAACGATGCTCATTGTCTTTTTTGACATCAAAGGCATCGTCCACCATGAATTTGTTCCTCATGAACAAACCGTCAACGCCAAGTTTTACGTGGAAGTGCTCAGGAGACTCAAACGAAGGATCAGTCGGGTCCGACAAGACATCGCAGCCGACTGGAAGTGGCACCACGACAACGCCCCGGCTCACACCGCCTGTCTTGTGAACAGCTACCTGACCAAGGCCGGCATCCCAACGCTTCCGCAGCCGCCCTACAGCCCAGATGTGCCCCCCCCGGACTTTTTTTTGTTTCCTCGCCTTAAAAGGCCGATGAACGGCAAGCATTTTGAGACGACAGAGAATGCCTTCCGTGACGCCTTCAATGCTTGGAAATCGCGCTGGCAGCGCTGCATCGACGCAGAAGGAGCTTATTTTGAAAGTTTTTAAAGAATTGTAACGATTGGCTCAATATTTTTTTTTAAATCGACTCAGTCCTATTACTTTCCGGACAAACCCTGTACAACCTGCGCAAGAGAAATCGTCAGTCTACATCCAGCATCAGAATGGAAGGACCTCTGAAGAAGCTTGACACTCGTGCTAGCGTTAGGAAGAAAATTCCAACCGACGACAGCCTTCAGTTTAGACCCGAATCAAGACAGCAGTTTATCAACTGGCCGCGAAAGCCTTAACCAGTTTGTCACTACGGACTTTCTTCAACAAGCTGGCGTTAATGTTATGCAGACGCCACCTCGTTCACCGGATTTAAATCCCATCGAACATATGTGGAATATGATGGAAAGGAGACGTATACAAAAGAGTATTCATGTATTTTTTCTAGGTGTAACACTTCTAATCACCGAGTACAGTGAAAGCTCTCCTTGCGGACAGCTCCTATAAGCGGACATCTCTTTTAACCGGACAAAGTTCCTGGAACCGAATTTCAGCCATCAATTTTCAATCTTAAATGCATTCCGATAAACGGACGCTCTTATAAACGGACGCGGACACTAGATTTTCCTGTATGTGATCAAAAAATCTCCCATAAGCGGACGCGAAACTCTAATACCCGGACGATTTTTTAGTTCCGCTTATTGCAATGCACATATCTACATACATAAAATTCGGTAATTCCCCGATTTATATTAGGTGATTCCCCATTTACGCATTTCGTTGGGTAGCCTGTATGTAATCTTGTGGCTTGTCTTCAGTTCAGGCAAATTCGTAGTTGATTGAGTTACGTATTTTATTATTGTAACTGTAAAATGGCACCAAAAAAAAGGATGCTCTCGTTAAAGGAAAAGATGGAAGTTGTTAACGTATTAGACAGAGAAAGTGTTTCAGGTCGTCATTTGGCAAAGAGGTTTAATATTGGGAAAACGCAAGCAGCTGAAATTGCCAAAAATAAGGAAGATATCAGGAGTAAATGGCAATCAGGAACTAATATAAATCAAAAGAAGGATTTTTAAAAAAAGGAAGGTTTTGCTATAGACAAAACATGTTTTGAGTGGTTTGTGAAAGCTAGAAGTCAGAACATTCCAATCTCAGGGCCGTTAGTGAAAATGAAAGCTAAAGAAATCGCCACTACTTTGGGCTATAATAATTTCAGTGCGTCCGACGGGTGTCTGCAAAAGTGGCGCAAGAGACATAGTGTAAGTTTCAAATGCATATCTGGCGAAGCTGCTGCAGTAGTTCAAGTTGATGTGTCACAATTTTTGGAGAAGCTTCCGTCCATGTTGCTTGGCTACAAACCAGAAGATGTGTACAACGCAGATGAGAGTGGACTTTTTTTTCGCGCATTGCCCGACAAAACTCTGTCCTTTAAAGGAGAAACGTGTGGGTGGAAAGTTGTCTAAAGATAGACTAACCATTTTATTCTGTGCAAATATGGCCGGTGAAAAATGCGATTTGATTGTGATCGGGAAAGCGGCTCGCCCCCGTGCTTTAAAAAACGTTGCTATTAAGGATCTACCAGCGACTTGGAAATCCAACAAAAAGGCATGGATGACCCGAGAAATCATGTCTGAGTGGTTAGTCGAATTCGACCGGAAAATGAGAATCCAAAAAAGGCAAGTTCTTTTATTTTTAGACAATGCATGCTCTCATCCTCGTGATATGAAAATGAAAAATGTGAAAATTATATTTTTACCGCCAAACACAACTTCTGTTTGTCAGCCCATGGATCAAGGTGTCATACAGAACTTTAAATTTTATTATCGGCACTTGATTTTAAAACATATTTTAACAAAAATTGACGATGGTCAAAGCTTATCTGAGCTTACAAAGTCTATCAATGTGTTAGAAGCTTTGTATTTTATAAAAACAGCATGGAATAAAGTAAATTCCTCTACAATTAAAAACTGTTTTGGCAAAGCTGGATTCAGAAAAAGTGAATGTAGCTCAGAATTTGCTGAGCAAAATTATTGCGATGCTGAAGACGATCTGTCCTTAGCGACACTTGCTCAGTTACTGCGACATGCCAAACATTTAGGAGTAGCAGATCCCCAGAAAGTAGATGATTTCCTGGCCATAGACAATAACATAACAACAGAAGAAAATGCCATTGGCAACTTTTCGAATTTGGATGTAGAAAGCCCAGGCCAACTTGAATATGGTAGTCCAAACGACTCAGAAGAAGAAGTGGAACTGGTGGACTCACTAAGCAGTTCAAAAACGATAAATTCATATGGAGAAGCTCTAAATCATATTTCTATATTGAAAAAATTTGCTAAAGATGATTTCACTGCATTTCAACATTTGAAAAATTTAGAAAGTTATTACGAAAATTGTCTCCTTCAGCAAAAGATGGTGAAATTTCGTCAGACAAACATTTTAAACTTTTTTCAACAAGCTAAAGAATAATGTTTTTTTTTAAATTCTCGTACCATGTATTGATGCATTTATGTTTTTGTATGCGTATATGTACATATATTATGTAGATATATAGCATAAATACATACTTTAAAAATGTGTCGAGTTTCTGTTTCATTTTTCTCATGATTATAATACCTCATTTCCTCATGATTATATACCCCGTTATTTATACTCTATACTTACATACTCTCTTTTAAACGAACACCTCCCATAAGCGGACAAAAGTTACGGAACCGTGAGTGTCCGCTTATGGGAGCTTTCACTGTATATAAATGATGCTCAAGTTTCATATGGCCAATTAATAAACACAAGAACACCTTAACAAGTAAAGCAGACGCCGAGATTCGCTGCTAGACGGGCAGCACCTAGTTACCATTAAAAAAAAAGAAGAATATGGGAAAGTGTACTTACAGCTACATCCTTGACTCCCTGTTCATTTCTCGGCGGTTTAGACATCGACCTGGATCGCGCTAAAGACACGCTGTCGCCATCTTCCGTACGCACCCTCTTAACTGGCGGTCCTGAAGACAAGCTCCTCTTTTTCGTCTTCGTAAAGTGCGCGTTTTCGGTTTCGCTCATGTCAACGCCCAGGTTCTCCATATTTTCGCGCAGTTTCGACACCGAACGATCTCTTGCCTAAAATTACGCATTTTACAGGATTTTGACGTTAAATGAAAACACCAGTTGAAAAAACTGCTCTCAAATATACCTTTGCTGCTGATGTCCTAGGCATAGTAGGTTTTCTGCACTGCTTATTAATCCTAGCTTCATCCTTGATGATGGCTTTCTTCTCTCTGATCTGTTTCGCAAGCTTTTTGATCTCCATCATCGTGTCGTCGAGTTCTATCTTGGGCACCACGTACATGCCAGTTTCTACTCTAATTTCTTCTTCCTTTTCTAATTCGGCCAGTTTGTCGAATATCTCTGGATCTATGTAATCTGCTATATTATGACCCTAAAAATCATCGAGACAGTGTTAGTAAAATTTCTTATTGTCAACAAAATTTGGTGAGAATTTTTTTTCTGGGTGTAACACTTCCAATGTCACCAAGTATATAAAAGTTTTACTGTGAATTTAGAAATAAATTCACGAATTAATAAACTGCAATTTGTAGCAATGGCAACTAAAAGATCACAGAGTGAACATTTTTCCGATTTTTTTTTGCAAGACCTATAACACTGACCAACAGCCAAAAAATATCCTAAATAAAATCGAACAAAATATTACTATTTTTAATGTGCTAAAACCGGAATGAAACTTATTTTTTCAATATTAGTTCAAGTTTTAGAGATACGGTAATTAGAGCCACAGGTATATCCAAGAAAAAAAAAATCGGTTATTAACTACCCAAACATACCATCTGCGATGAGACCTGTGCCTCACAGTGACGAAAATCCTATTCCAAAACCCCCAGAATCCTACACTTGCGAATCAGAAAACGAATCAGATCATGGCGATCGAGTGATTCGTCAGGAAGAAGATATGCCATAAAGGTCAAGAGATCCTGATTTTATACCGAGCACGTCATGCCACCAACCGCACAAAATAACACAGTCAGAATTAAATGATCTTGTAAGAGATTTAGAACTTCCAAAATGTAAGGCAGATTTACTTGGATCAAGACTGCAGCAGTGGAACTTGTTAGAAGACGATGTTTCGGTATGTGTTTTTCGTAAACGCCACAAAGACTTAGAACCATTTTTCAATATGGAGAATAACTTGGTTTTCTGCAGTAACATTAACGGCTTACTGGCGGCTTTAAATATAAACTATAACCCAGAAGAATGGAGATTGTTTATAGACAGTTCAACATTGAGTTTAAAGGCAGTGTTATTGCATATTGGAAATATTTTACCATCTCTTCCTGTGGGGTATGCAGTTCAGATGAAAGAATCATATGACAATATGAAGTACCTATTGACATGCATAAAATACGATGAGCACCAATGGCATATTTGTGGCGATTTGAAAGTTGTTGCACTTTTACTTGGGCTGCAGCTAGGCTACACAAAGTTTTGCTGTTTTTTGTGTGAATGGGACAGTCGGGCAAAGGCACTTCATTACACCAGACAAAACTGGCCTGTTCGTCAATTCCTAGAGCCAGGTCAAAAAATGATCTTGTAAGAGATTTAGAACTTCCAAAATGTAAGGCAGAGTTACTTCGATCAAGACTGCAGCAGTGGAACTTGTTAGAAGACGATGTTTCGGTATGTGTTTTTTGTAAACGCCACAAAGACTTAGAACCATTTTTCAATATGGAGAATAACTTGGTTTTCTGCAGTAACATTAACGGCTTACTGGCGGCTTTAAATATAAACTATAACCCAGAAGAATGGAGATTGTTTATAGACAGTTCAACATTGAGTTTAAAGGCAGTGTTATTGCATATTGGAAATATTTTACCATCTCTTCCTGTAGGGTATGCAGTTCAGATGAAAGAATCATATGACAATATGAAGTACCTATTGATATGCATAAAATACGATGAGCACCAATTGCATATTTGTGGCGATTTGAAAGTTGTTGCACTTTTACTTGGGCTGCATCTAGGCTACACAAAGTTTTGCTGTTTTTTGTGTGAATGGGACAGTCGGGCAAAGGCACTTCATTACACCAGACAAAACTGGCCTGTTCGTCAATTCCTAGAGTCAGGTCAAAAAAATGTACAGCATATGCCATTAGTAGATTCGAGTTGGGCCTAATGAAAAACTTTGTCAAGGCATTAGATAGAGATGGGTCAGCTTTTCAATACCTGCGTCAGAAATTTCCAAGACTAAGTGAGGCAAAGGTTAAAGAAGGTATTTTTGTTGGGCCGCAGATTCGAAATATTTTGAAAGATACACAGTTTGAAAACACTTTAACAGGTATTGAAAAAACTGCTTGGAATGATTTCCGTCTGGTGGTCACTAATTTGTTGGGAAATAGAAAAGCTAACAACTATAAAACCCTTGTCAAAATATGCTCTCATCGTATCAAAAGATGGGCTGTAATATGTCTCTTAAGATACATTTCTTACACTCACACCTGGACTTTTTTCCTGACAATTTGCGGAGCCGTAAGTGATGAGCACGGCGAACGTTTTCATCAGGATATTTCAACAATGGAAAAAAGGTACCAGGGAAAGTGGAATCCTTCCATGCTTGCAGACTACTGTTGGACTCTTGGTAGAGATGCTCCAGAAACGATCCATAAAAGAACATCAAAAAGACAGCGATATAGTGATTCTAAGTATATGAATCTTGTTACTTTTTTAATATATCCTTAAAAATAAAAAGTTTTTTTTCTAAACCGCAACTAATTTTTTTATTTCATTGTCATTTTTGGATTCAGCGCGCCAAAATTAACAAAGAAGTGCACTTTTCCCACAAGATACAATTAAAAAACTAAAATTTGTTGTCCAGTGATAATTTGAAAAGTACACGATTTAGACTGTTTTTATATTTTTCTGATAACTACTGTGATTTCTGTGACACCCTGTATATGAAGATAACCATGGTAATAGTGCTCGTAGTTTAAAAAGAATGGCGATTTGTCAAAGTTAAAGAATAAATCTCAAAAAACGATTTCAGAATTAAACATTATCAGTGTTTTTGACTGGAATTACCTCCCATATCTCGGGAATGATATCATATCGTTCTTCCTCTGGTATGTCCGTGTAATGCTTGTGTAGATCAAGTATATAATCATCGCCCTCTTCAATTTCGATCTCCCGTTCGAGTTTCCTTTTGCGTTTCTCGTTATTTTGCTGTTGCCTTTTAGCCAAAACACTTTCAGGGATACAGGGCGGCCTTGGCTTGCCGTCCCTAGGCTTTGGCACTGCCACGTGGAGACAGTTCAGTATGCCATCTACCTGTCGAGTGATTTTCAAAATATTAGTCATGGAGTGTGTTTCAAATTGAAAATGAACGAAAATATAAAATATAGTTACCTTCTTGGTTCTCATCTTCTGATCTACTCTATAGCTCAACAGTTTCTCGCACGCATCAGCTTTTACTTCCATAACGCCTTTATCAGTTACAGTGGACATTTCCAACAGAGTCAGCTCCTTATCTGCCTCAATATCTTTCAACACCGCTCTTTGTGATTTTGGCAGTTCATCCAGGGTGATGATATCGCACTTGTTGGCGACCAAAATCAGCGGTTTGTTGGCAAATAATGGTTTGATTGATTCAAACAGTTTCACTTGCTCGTCAAGGGTATGTCCGCACTGTTCAGAAAGGTCTAAGAAGTACAGGATGCAGGCTCTAAGATGGGCTAGGGCTGTTACAGCTTGCATTTCTATTACGTTTCTTTCCTATTAAATGAGAAAAATTGCATAAAATCTTCTAAGAGAATATAAACGGTGTCCGCAAAGTTGGGGTGTTCCTTTTCAGAAACAACTACCCTTGAAATAACAAAGGTAATGTGTAGTAAAACGAGGGCGACCAAGTAAAAAAAAATAAAGGAAAAAGTACTCAATCTCCAGTTGACGAGAAGGGCTAAGTACGTCTCTGCCCGAAATCATACCGCTCCAACAGAAAATGAAATCAGCTGATACGCTACCGAGCAGACGCCGGCGGTGGTGCAGATCACGAACAGAGGTAACAAACATGACCATCGTGCAGAAACCACATTGATTGTCTTACACTTAATGGCACATCTTCTAACGAGGAAGGCAAAATGTTGCGTGAAAAGTCTAGGTATTGCATCCCGTCCAATCGATTTGGGAAAATAAATGGTCCAATGAGCATACCGTTCACCATGCAAGCCCAAACATTCACCGAAAATGTTTGTTGAAAATGTGCCCAAAGGACAGCGTGCGGATTTTCTACTGACCAAACATGAGTGTTGCGAAAGTTATTCACCCTATTACGCGTGAACGTAGATTCGTCTGTCACCAATATGCACTTCAAAAAGTCCGGATTATTGTCATGTTGATGCAACAACCACTCACAAAACCGCACTCTTGCTGGAAAATCGTCAGGTTGGAGGGCTTGTACACGTTGGACGTGAAACGGATACAGCCCCTCTTCACGCAGCGTTTGCCACACGCAATCGATTATACGGGTTCGTTTACCTCTACACGCGTGACCGTAACCCTCGGTTGCATACTGAACTGACACACTGACCCCGACCCAGTTCTGGCGTCATTATCAATAAAATTTTGTTAGAATGTTATTGTTTCATTCTTTACATACCTCAGTGCCAAAAAATCAAGTTTGGTGTAACACTTCTAATGTCATTACTATTTTCACATTACTCCAACAGACATACTCAAATTTAAATGGTTAAATTAATAGCTCTTTTTTTTGCGAATTTTCCAAAGTTTTTGACTGAGTAAATGATATACTATTAAAAAATTGAGCAATTATCAATCCCAAATTGTAAAAATATCAAGACATTATATTTCAAATACATTAAATATAAATGCAGGGGTACCTCAAGGATCAGTATTAGGTCCAATCCCATTCTTAGTCTATATCAATGATTCAATAAACTTGAATATAAATGGTAAATTTGTAGTTTTTGCTGACAATACCACAAGACACAGATATAAATGAACTTAAGGGAAAAATTTATAGTGATATACAATCAATCAAAAAATGGTGTGAAAATTACTTGACTTTCAATGACAAAATTTATGACACTGATTTTATAAATTTAAATGAATTGATACACAAAACAATCACCTCCAAATTTTTGGGACTTATCATTGATCAGAAATAAGATTTTTACAATTAGTTACAATAAAGGAAAAAGCACTGCCTTGCTATTTTGCCTTATTTGACAGTAGACTGTGTGTCTGTTCCCTAATCTTTTTAAAAAAGTGCTTATTCTACCAAAATTAACCTTAGATATATAACTAAAAGCAATTCTAGAACTACATGCAGGCCTTTATTTGTAAATACTAAAATAATGGCTGTCATATCATTGCTCAATTTAAGAACAGCAACTCTTATTCTTTAAAATAAATTTAAATTTGAAACCATATTATATTATGTGTGAGCTCTAAAATTTACCTTCTTAAGAATCACATATGTAATTATGTCATAGTTTAGTTTTATCATTAAGGATAATTGTATTCTTCATACAGCAAAGCATATAGTATGCTAACAGAATTTAAAATTGTGCGGTTGAGCGTTAGGTGTGGTTTAAATGATATCTTGTTTGTTTACTATATAATTAGTAAGTGTTACCTAATAAATAATATATTCTTTGCTGTTCCTAGAATCAACTTGAGAATAAGAGGCAACAAACTCTTTCACTGTTCACCTGTAAGTTGTTCTTCTATCAATAGAATGATGTAAGAGTGTAATAGTTATATACAAAATTGTGATGTGGATCTCCTTCCGACTACTGCGAGACAAATTAAGTAAAACATCCTTATCTCATTTTGTTTGTTAATTTTTTTTAGTTATAAGTTTTTGTGTATTCTCTGTTTCTCTACTAGCCAGTAAGCACTCGTACATGTAACTACATTCAAATGTGTTTAAATAACTATTTATCTATCATTAAAATAACTGATATTTTGTGATTATCTTAAAAATAGTTTCAACTCTGCCAAAATTTACAAAAATATGTTTATGCTTTAATTATTTCTTAAACACAAACCTCCAAAGAATGGTCCAAAATTCCAGGTGTATCAATCACTTGCCATCTAAGGTACTTATAGTCTGTATGACCAACATAGAGTGATTTGGTTGTGAATGCATATGGTTGCACCTCCACATCAGCCCTAGTGATTTTGTTTATAAACGAAGACTTTCCTACATTCGGAAATCCGCAGATAATTATGGTTCTTGTGTATGGATCTATGGATGGCAAACGTGCCAAATGCTGTCTCACTTGCTCTAGGTATGTGAGATTAGATGCTTGACGCTTCATTATGGTGGCCATTCGACCCAAGGCTGCTCTTTTAAGTTGCTTGCAACGATACAAGGAGTCTCCATATTTTAGTAACCTAACGTAATCTTTTGCAACGTTGTCTATTAAATGCCTTGCAGTATTTATCTGGCCTAAAGCTAGCTTGTAATGGTCTTTGTCATATAACACATTCATCAAATCTGCATAAAATGGGTGGACATCATCTAATTTTGGAAATTCTGTCAAGATTTGTGTCAGCCTGTCATGAAAACTTTGCTGGGAGAATTTCACTTTTCTCATATAAAACGCTCTAATTCGGGTTATTTTGTACTGCTTATGCACTACTGTTGGTGTTTTTCTTTGAGTTTTCGAAAAGATAATGTCGATGAAGTCCTGAAACATAAAAATTGATGCAGGTGTTGTTTATTCAAAGTGAGTAGTACATACCTTCGCAGTAGGGACTACAGCCACTTTCTTGAAATTATATAAAGCCATTTTGTGATTTTCTCAATACACTTTAATAAAATTGAATATTTTTCTAATTTCTGAACGTTTACCACGTGTATTTTGACACGGGTGCATAAACGAAAGGAAACGTCACTGTCACTGCGAAAGGCATAAAGCATACATAAATGGAAGAAAAAACCAGTGACACTTTTTTTTTTTAATTATTAGAAGACACGTATTCTTAACGGCCATTGTGGTTCTCATCATTGCTGTGACAAGATGGCGGATAAAAACACTATTTGTTTACAAAAACAATCTCTGTATTTTTCCTTCCTATGAATTTGACCAGCCTATGGTTCTTTGCCACACTATTCCATCTTTTTTGTTCCATGTCATTCGGCGCGTGGTTAGAGGTTATTTCGTTATTTGTTTCTGTTCTGAATTTATGAAAAGAAATTATTTCTAACGCACTTTTACAAACAAAATATAAAAATGGCTGATATAAATATCGACACTGATAATTTCGAACCGAAAAAAGCAGCGAAACGGACAGCACCTGCAGAAGATGTAATGGAAGTCGAAGAGCACAATGGAATTGCAGGCAAAACCAAAGGCAGGACACCAAAATCAAAGAGGCAGAAAACAAAGTCATTTTCCGAAAGCAAAGATGATATGAGAAAAATTAGTGTTCCAGCTCACAGGTATTCTCCCTTGAAGGAAAACTGGTTGAAAATATTCACTCCGATTGTTGAGCACCTGCAGCTCCAAATAAGGTTCAACTTGAAGACTAGAAATGTTGAAATCAAAACATGTGAAGCTACCAAAGATATTGGAAATCTTCAGAAAGCTGCAGATTTCGTGAAGGTATTTTCTTATTTCAGTTTTATCACTGTGTATTCATCATTTTTATTTCCAGGCATTTATATATGGATTCGAGGTAGAAGATGCTTTGGCTCTGCTTCGTTTAGATGACTTATTTGTAGAAACATTCGAGATCAAGGATGTGAAGACCTTAAAAGGTGATCATCAGTCAAGAGCAATTGGAAGATTAGCTGGAAAAGGTGGGAGGACGAAATTCACCATCGAAAATGTAACAAAAACAAGAATAGTTCTTGCAGACAGCAAAATACACATTTTAGGAAGTTATCAAAACATAGCACTGGCTAGGAGAGCTATTTGTAACTTAATTTTGGGTTCCCCTCCATCAAAAGTGTATGGACAATTGCGCAATGTAGCATCTAAGGTTTCAGAAAGAATGTAAAATATATTTGATAAAACATATCACATATAGTTTTATTTCTTAAAAATCTTTAGGTATGACAACGAAATCAGGATTAGTACTTCAATTACAATTATCAATATCAGTATAAGCTTGTTGTAGATCACATTTCTCCCCATTTTCTTCAACACCGATTTGGTATAATCCAGCTGTGTATTAGCATTTTCCAATCGGCCCCGCGTCCTCAGTAAAGACTCTCGTTGTTGGCCCAATTCGGAAATAACTTCGTTTCCTATTGTCTCCGTTTCTACAGCTATTTGCTCCGATCTCGCTATACTTTCTCCAGTTCTTTCTAAAACCCTTGTACCTTCCAGCATAATCTGTCGGTTGCGTTCTTCGGGGTCATCATAGTCCCTACTGTTATACATGACGGTAGATTTTCAGAAAAAATACAATTTATTCATACTGCACCACCATCCATTGCTCCAAACAAATATTTCTTGACGTATTTTTATTTTGCCTAACCTACAAAAACATAAAATACGTCGCCACCATATTGTATATATGTCAAGTCAAAACATGTCATTCTTGTCTCTGAATTGCTGCGTTGCCAGCTCATCGGACAATTCTGCTACCTCTGCTGTTATATAAAAAAGCTTTCAATAAAACATTGCGGGATGCCAATGGAGATATATTCGAACATGTAATATTTTGAAGCACGACACTCCTCAATAAGCACTAGATCGGTACTGACCAAAATCGGTCATCTATAATCATGGAGGTGGAAACCTTGCCTTGGAACGTACGAGATGCGATGTTGCCAAGCGAATCAATGAGGCAATGTCGCAGAATTTGTGGTTGTAACAGTAGTATGTAAAAAGGGAGTAATCCGCTTTTAATTTGTAAACCTGAGATAAAAGAGCTCCATTGTCGTTTGATATTTCCAATCTGAAAAATTATTTTATTACTTATAACTAAGAGTTTAAAACAAGTTTCAAGCCTGATATTAGTGATAAATAAATATAATCCATATTTTCAAAGTTCATGCTGCACACAGGTGGTTCTTTCTTGGTGCTACATTTTCATCTGATCGTCAGTATCTGCTGTTCAGTCAGTTTCAGCCCAATCATGGCCCACAACTTGGTCACTCTCAGCTTTGATGTCAAATTCCTTATGGAGCCCTAATGCGTCCATATCTTCAAACTTCCTGATGCTCATAAGTGGTTTTACTTCCAGTTTTTTAGACTCATGGAGTTCCATTTTCATCTGATCCACAGTATGTGCTGTCCAGTCACATTGATCACTCTCAGCTTTGACGTAAAATTCCTTAGGCAGCCCTGAAGCGTCCAAATTTTCAAACTTCCTGCTGCTCATAAGTGGTTTTTCTTCTAGTTTTTGAGACTCCTGCATTGAATAGAATCCTGCGTCTTCATCATATTCCGATTTGATGTGAAACTCTTCATTCAGCATCAAAGTCTGCATATTTTCAAACTTGATGTTGTCCACATACGGATCGGTATCCGGTTTTTCGGATTTAACCTTGACTACTAACTGATTCTCTGTTCTCTCCTGGTTAATTCCATCCCGCTCTGCATCTTTTACACTAAAAGAAAACTGATTTTAGACGATGGTGTATGTTTAAGAATAAACAATTATCCTCAAAAGGAAAGTCTCATTCTACTGTGACTTACAATTTTTTTAATGCCTAAAATAATAATTTGAAAATAAATTTATAATAATGAAAAAACGCAATGATATGCATACAATTCGATTGGAAAATGTAAGCATTATATTGTATACTTACTTTGTTGTTGATTTTACAGGAATATTGAGTATTTCTGTACTCTTATGGACAACCATTTGTTGCTTTGGTGCAGGCGAAGATGCTTTAATAACTATTGTGTGTTTTTTTGGTCTATACAGAGTTAAGTTCGTCTTATGTCTTCTTCGTTTACGTTTCTTCTGGTTTACTGTGTTGTCAGACTCTTGCACTTGACTTGGAGTGATTCTACAAAAAATTAAGGCATAAAATAAGACGAATTGATGTAACGCAGCATTATCAGAAATTTGACGGCTTGAGTTCAATGTGAATGAGTGTATTGAATGTATGAAGATGCATGTTGAAAATGTGCTTTAGTTTATTCTCTATGCCCAAATAATGGTTTTATTTTGAGCGTACGCGTTTTTAAATTGCGAACTGTTGCTCCATTTTAGGTCGAAATCAGGATCGCCACAAATTCTGCAACATGGCATCATTGGTTCGCTTGACAACACCGCATCTCGTACATTCCAAGGCAAGGTTTGCACCTCCATGATGAGCGATTTTGATCAATACCCGTCTAGCGCTCATTGCGTACACGCAGGCAGTGATAATCTGCACTACACTGTACATTTTTACAACCCAAATGGCAAGCCAAATAGATCTTTTAATAAATTTTGCATGGGCTGTGATATCAATTTTGATGCTCAAGATGTAATTCTAGCCAATCTAATTATGCTGTGGTGGAACGTTGAGATGTGCATTGCAATGTGGTTTTAATACATTTTCCCTCTATTTTTTTGTACTTATTTACTTTTATACCACATACAGGGTGACTTCGAAGTTGAGTCATTTATTTTAACAGTGAGTAGATCTGATCAAATGAAATGTTTTTTTCCTTTAACATTTTTCTGGTAAAATTAAAGTAACAAAGTTATAGCCCTTTAGAAGTTTGAGTACCGCCCTGTCTCAATAATAATATTATGTGCTCGTGTTTGGCGACAACGGATATAATCCGCCTTATCGGTTCATCGCATCGGAAACAAAAAAGCGAAAGTATTTGAAACGCTTATCATGATGTTTTTACTACAATTTTATTCAGTTGTATTCAGTCAATGTGTCAGTCGGTAACGCGTGTGTGAATAGTGGTGTTTGCTGCGTGGCTTAAACATTTTTTTTTAATTTTTTTTTTATTTTTACACACATATTTTGGTTTATCTTCCTTCTACAATCATTATCTGAAAATTAATGACTCAACTTCAAAGTCTGACATCTTTGTGATATCAGTCCTAATTGCATTGGTTCCTGTGATTAGCTATCCCATTGGAATAAAGATTATCATTATTAATAAAAGTTAAATTTTAAAACGCAATAAAAGTGAATCTCAAAAAGTTATCAAAAAGTATCGTTCTACAGATTGCAGATATGACTATTAAATTATTGTATATTTACTTTGTTGTTGATTGTACAGGAATGTTGAGTATTGATGTACCCATATAGGCAACCATTTGTTGCTGTGGAGCAGGCAAAGATGCTTTAAGAACTCTTCCATGTTTTTTTCTTCTCCTCAGATTTGACTTCTTACGTCTTCGTTTAAATTTGTTCTGCTTTACTGTGATGTCTGACTCCTGCCCTTGACCTGGAGTGTTTCTACAAAAAAAATGAAGACAAAATTAAGGTATAAATTAAGACGAATTAATGTAACACAGTAGTATCAGAAATTCAATATATTAAAAAATCATGGTAAAATACAATGTTTTACATATTCACTGAAAACTTCAAATGAAAGATCAGGGTGGCCACAAATTCTACAACATGCCATCATTGTCCTGCTTCAAAACGGTTTTCACCTGCGTATACGCAGGCAGTGATAATTTGTATTGCATACTGGTATTTGTTACATTTGATAACTCTGGATGTGTTGGAGGGAATCAGAGATAACTTAATTTACACCTTAATTTTGTCCTAATTTTTTGTCGAAACACTCCAGGTCAAGGGCAGTAATCGTAAACGAAGACGAAGTATAAAAGAGGTATATACTGTTTTGAGACTTCTTATATCTGCAAAGCTAGACCAAAAATTTGCACAATGTAAAATATATACTTACATAGTACCAGGCTGCACCTGATCTACATTTGAAGACTCTATCATCCGTGTATCTTGTAATGAATCATTTTTTCCTTCCTAAAGTAAAAAAAACACAAGCGTGTAAGCTGCATATTGGTAATAATGCTATAAAAGGGGTAGTGTGTTTATACTGTATTTTTCCTTTAGTTTTTATGTACATGCGTGTTACACTTTTATATTTGCTATCTATTAGTGTTTCATGATCTTTTTATTGTTTATATACTTTCACTTATACCATTAAAGATTTTCAACTATTGTTCTTTGAGATTTGTAAACCAGATGTGTACTTACCACCAACAAATTATAATTATTTGTAGAAATAGCTGCAAGATTCATGATAGCAGGCTTCTTAGCATACCAGACACGCTTCTTACTACACCAGTTATTTCCTCTCTTCTTCTTAGGCATATTGATGAATATATTTTTTGAATGTACCTATTATAAAATAAAGCTAAAAATGAAAGTGTTCATTGATTAAAAAATATGTATACATTTTTTTTCTTGTGATGCTACATTAAGGATTTTTGCGCGAGTCCACGGTGTGGCACAGTGCACTACCGGGAAGCGAGACTCAATTACTCAAATCTCAAATTTTCGCGAAGAACGTGAATAAGGGAAGACGCATGCGACGTCGTCCGAATGTCAAAAAATCACGTGGTACGGGTACCCGCCTAACGTCCGTGAGGTACTAGCGAGTGACAGGTCTTATGTCTCAGCCGTCGAGTTACAAGTGGATATCGATGTAGTTTATAGCTATTCTATAAAGCACAATTTGATGATAAATTCCTCTAAATCCAAAATCATGTTATTCTGCTCTAATACTAAACGTGAGCGCATCCTAAAAACATTTCATCCCAAAATTGGACCAGATAGAGTAGAATTTAGTAATGAGTCTAAAATACTTGGTGTCATTTTAGATATTAACTTAAGATTCAAAAGTCATGTTTCTAGCATATTACAAAAATCATATTGGAAATTACGTGTTTTATATGCAAATAGACGTGTTCTGCCTTCTGCTTTGCGAAAAAAACTTGCTGAATCCCTTATTCTTCCAATTATCAATTATTGCAATATTCTTTACCAGCCTTGCTTGGATCAGCTCACTAAAAGACGTTTACAAGTGATTCAAAACAACTGCCTCAGATTCGGGTGTAGTCTAAGAATATTTTTATTTCAGATTCAAACAATTCTGCTAAGTTTATCAAGGTGCTTAAAGCAAACATTTTGGGCAACTTGCGCCATCTAACCACTCCCGGTGTAACTTGAAACTGTCAAAACTTCGAGAGGAAGGGGAAATTTCATCTGTTCCCGCTCCGGTTCACCACGGGATCTCGCGAAAAAATAATCAAATTCAAGCGGATAACCAAATGGAAATGGTATTTACCATTTTGGGTTGGTATTTACCGATCCGTTCAAGCGAGTGTAGTTATCAGTTTGGTTATAAGATCCGTGACGTCACGAATCAGCTGTTATATGTCATAGTTATCACCGCAAAATTGTGGTATTTACCCAACTCAAGAGTAGTTTTATATTTCTGGTTATTATTTGAAATCTGACAAGTTAGAATTTTGGCGGGTATTGGATATTGTTATTGTACTTCAGCTTCATTTTTGAGAAAATTGATACAGGCTGACTTCAGTTTTACCATAAAGTGGAGCACCTTATTAGTTATACTCATTACGGTTGTTGGGGACACTTTAAATGTAGTTCCTATGCTTAACAAAGTATCCTGTGTAGCCATATACCACAAGAATATTAAAATATGGCCATATAAACTCACTAGATGATATCTACCTGTATACGGTTTTGCTAATTTCTTTTGTCATCATTTCTGCTGAATCAATAAATGTTTTCTTTGACATGCGGAAAAATTTAGAGAATTGAAAGTTATCATAGCTACAAAGCCATGGTTCCATCATTAAAAAAAGAATCTGAAAAAAACATTTCTCCCATGAATATTATGAAAGGGTTCTTATTTAAACTTTCCATACTCAGTTGTAGACGAAAAAGCACCGATTATTAAGTGATAATAAAAATAATCAGAGATTATATATGCACTTTTCTTAAATAAACAACTTGCAACAAAACCGCGGTTAAAACCAACGCGTTCAAGCGATTCGTGTAACTGACGTCATCAACCCGTGTGTCATCTTGAACCATATTATAACCGCGGCACATAACACAGAAATTTTGGTTATTCGCTTGGATTTGATTAAATCTACAAGTAGATTTGTCAATTATGACGTTTTTTCCATAGGACGACTATTTTAGGTGTTCTATGCTACTGTTTCTAGAAGCACTCAATTGAGTGACAAAATCTGGCAGTAAAAAATATTTTTCCAACTAATATACCTAATATCTGGTCTAAATGATTCTAAACGCTTAAATTAATGTGTAACCAAACACGCTTTCAATTAAGAAGCACGATATAGTAATAACTTGTGAATGGAATGCATATGAAAGTGGGGGTTAATATGACATGTCAGTCATTTGCATAAAATGGAGTTGGATATGTGATGTTTTTGTGGAGTGTAAACAATTTTCAATTACTTAAAGTTTTTAGAGAATAATAACGTACTAGATAGTAGCAGCCGGACTCAATCTTGCGTATACTTTACGGTTATAGTCAAATAAATACCGAAACATGGACGAATTGGGCGTTACAAAACGACTACCGAATAAATTTGTTACACATTTGGAATAGAGGTGAGCAGCTACCTGTTGATCTTTGGATCACCGAATATGTGTGCATTATGCCCACAACTTCAAGTAAAATGCGAATCTATTAGTGTTTGAAGGAAGTATATACGCCGTTTCAGTACTTTCTCACATGTTGCAACAAAGAATGCTAAAGTGGGAGTAGGCTAATCCAAAGCTATAGCTTGAACACGTTCTTAAGCTATATTTTATCTTTCAGCCTCTAAAAGAAGTCGGCCAGCAAACTCCAGTGGGTCTAATGGTGCAGAAACAGAGAATTAGCAATATGACCTCTGAGCAACCGTTGAAGAAAAAGTTGAGAAGAGGTACAGATTCCGAGACAGATGAACCTGATTTCATTCACAGCATCTCGGAAAGCAACGTGAACAGTGAGCTGCAAGCCTTACATCTTTCTCTACCACCCACTGTGAACGAAGATGACATCACCAAGAACAATGTCAACTTGCAGTTGCACAGTGAAATGTCAGCGTACAGGACTACTGAAAGTGCGGACAGTAACAGTGACAATAGTGAACATGTGCCAAGCAAACCTGCTCCAGATATAATAACATCAACAAGGTTACAGAGCGCTCCATTGCCTCCGAATGGAACGTTAAAATCAAGCACGCAGCTCATGAGAGCTACCAACCATGATAGATTCAATAGTGATAGTGATAGTCATGTTATTAGTGAATATATGCAACAGCATTTGATAACACATGAAAGAGTAGGCGAAAATCAAAATATCTCTAGTGAAGAAATCGATGAGTACGGTCTAGATAATTTCCAAAGGCATCTGATAAGTCAATGCTTGTGTGGGGTCCCTGAAGCTGTTTTAAGGAAACCTTTTGAGGGAAAGCAAATAAACGACTGTGGCGAAGTCCGAACTGCAATGCTGTCGGAATGGTCTACAAAAAAAGTGTTGCAGTTCCTCTCGAACTTACAACTGCTGTTTGATGTATACCTGAAGCAAAACAACAAGGGGTACATTTGTTCGAGGATAGTTACGATATGCGATGCCATCATTTGCAATGAGTACAACCTTATAGAGCAAATTATATCCCTATGCGAATTGAGGAATCAGTACATCAACTTTTTGGCTGCCAAGGTTCTAAGTAGCTTTCTCATCATTGCCAAGACGAACATCAACAACGAATGGCTGGAATCGATCGTGAATTTTCTCACAATGGAAAATATTGATTATGTGAAGATGAAATTTGCGTTAGAGATTGTGAAACGTGTGGTTGAATGGAAAGACATCGAGATACACGTGCTGGAGGAAAGCGAATGTCGAGATGGACCTGGAAGTAGTTCCCAGGAGGTCGTCGAGAATGTGAATTGCACGACAGTGCCTTTCAGTGATCCTGAAAGCTACGATACCTCGGCTATCAAAGGTATGTTGGGTCAAAAATGAATTTATTTATATACTTGAATCAGTTATTAATAAATCGGTTTACTAATCTATAGTTATTTTCCAAGTTTACATAGTATGTTTATTCTACACCTTCTTCTGTATGTGCAGGAAATATTATACAAGAACAATACAATTCAATGCTTATAGGTAGCTAAAATCAGTAATACTTGCACAAAAGTACTTGAAATATATAATACAATTACAGCAGTAATAATAAAGCATTCTATTTATTCAAACATTATAATAATATTTATTGCTGTTGTATATGCAATATCATTTAAACACGTCTAAAAGAGAAAATGAGTAGATTAACCTCTTGACTGTTACTAGTGATTTCCACTACCTTCCTCCCAGTGCACCCCAAAATTATAATAGGATTTCCTAATTAAACAAGCCTTTTTAAAATATTCCATATTTAGTAACTTCACTGACTCTGGTAAAACATTGTAAAACACCATACCATATTAGTTTTTTATTTGAAATCTAGTGTAAACTAAAAGAAGTTTAAAAAAGTACTAAATGTTACTATACTAAGTGACATATAAATCCGAACACCCAGTTTAAATGGTTTTATTTTAATAAAATTTTGTATAAGTACTTAATGAAGCATAATAAGTAAATGACAAAAATTTCAAAATGATTGCACTGCTTTAAAGCCCTTTGACCTTTAATAATGTGTGGATGCACCCTGATGTGCTACGCATTCTCCAACGCGCCTAGGCATGCTTCTGATCAGGTGGTCAATGTCCTCCTGTGGTATCTCATTCCAGGCAACCACCAACTCCTCTCGAAGTTCTTCTAGAGTCTGAGGAGGACGTTGCAAATTGAGCAATCTCCTACCCATCATATCCCACACGTGCTCAATTGGGGATAAGTCGGGAGATCTTGGTGGCCATGGTAACAATGTGACATCATTATGTTGAAAGAAGTCTATTGTGACTCTTGCAACATGTGGTCGGGCATTGTCTTGTTGGAAAGTTGGATCTGCCAGGGTGTCAAGATAGGTTAAAAGATGGGGTTCTAGAACTTCGTGGATATAACGCTGCGCGTTCATGTTACCTCTGATGAAGATTAAAGGTGACCTAGAACCATAAGCTATAGCACCCCAAACCATAACTCCAACAGTATGATGAACATGTCTTTCAACAAAAAACTGTGGATTCCTCCTTTCACCACGTCGCCTTCTAACCCTGGCACGACAATCGTGCATGCCTAAACAAAATCGAGACTCGTCACTAAAGACAATACTGTTCCATTCCTGATCCCAGAGTGACCGTTGTCTGCACCACTCAAGGCGATTACGTCGGTGTTCTCGAGTTAAAGGGAGGACCCAGTGTGGCCGGTATGAAAACAAGCCAAAACTTCTCATTCGTCGGTAAACACTTCGCATGCCAATAGGTCTTCCGTGTTCTGCAAACCATTCATTTGCAGTGGACCTGGTAGTGGAGAAACGGTCCCTTAAGGCCAATCTTCACGGTCTGTTGTTCTACGGCGGCGTCCAGTGCCCCTTACTCTTTGCGTACGGCCTTCTCGAAGCCATGCCTGACGACACCTAACCACAGTGTCTACACTTCTTTGCACTCTAACTGCAATTGCCCGAAAAGAAAGTCCAGCTTCCCGAAGTCCCACTATACAGCCCCTATCAAACTCACTAAGTTGACGAAATCGTACAGGTCTCCGTACTCTAGGCATCGTAACCGATCGTAAAGGATGTCAAGAACCAAAATCCGCCAACGTTGATTCTTTACTGCGGCTGAAATATTCATTTTTAGAGCGTTAGTGAAATAAAAAATGTCCAACTGATAAGGCTGAAAATTTTTTCACTTGTTATTTACAGTAAGATAAATACATTCACCAACTTTTATTAAAATAAAACCATTTAAACTGGGTGTGCTGTGTGAAGTTCATTATTGTATTTTTCTTAGGGTTGATTATCAAAAGCTTGGAGTCCAGATGGCCAGAGCTAATACACAAAATCAGAGGTCTCATTCTCCATAGCAGTTCAATAACAGGTGTTTCGATAGTACAAGCACAGGCATGTGTCTTGGCCTTTTTGGCTCTGTGGGAGAGCACAATTTCTGTCAAAGCCAACTTGAGGTATGTAGACATACAAGAAATAATCTATTAGATCTTTAATCGCTGTAATGTTTCAATAAGCTTAATTTCGTGTTTTTTTTTTTTTCACTTTCAGTGTGATCGATACAAAGCCATTCTACGCGCATCTGGAGCTTTTTGTGGGTCTGTTGGGTGCCAGGTTAAGTGCGGTAGTATGGAAGCAACTGCTTTCTCTGTTCAACGAGGTGCTGTGTTATGGGAGCACTCTGGCACTGCAAGATGTTTTGCCTGATGATACATGCCAACTGGCACATCTTATTGTGAGGTGAGAATTTTTGTTTTTGAATAAATGTATATTTATGTCGGTAAGGCCCGATTGTGCTAAACTTGTGGCTTGCTCAAAACTTGGATCAAACTTATTACAACAGATTGATATGACTGCCATTGATCATCATCTTCAAATTTTAAAGAAATCTATCTATATTTTTTAATTTTTAGATTCTCCATGGAGTTTTTGGTAACTTCTGTGATAATAAGAGGTATTGTGAAAATAATAACCAGTATAATTCCTGTAATAACAAGAATTTACTTTAAAATTAAAAACAATTCTCCGAGTGTTAAACAAACAAAAAAACAACGTACAAATTACACGCACATTAAAGTCAAAGTAAAAATTAATTTGTTGAAAAAGGTAGGTCAATGTGGTATTAAGTGCTGAAAGAGGTTTTGTTTGAATCTATGCGTCACATTTCCAAGCATGTCTTGAGATATTTGTCCACATTCCGCCGTAATTCGCTGAGGAAGATCTTGAATGGAATCTGGCTTTATACTACACAGCTTACTTTTCAAATGCCCCCACAGAAAATAATCTAAAGGACTTAGGACTGACTCGGGAAATGGGTGGCAAAAAACTGTCGTCCTGAAAGTAATTTTCATTATACTTAGCGTCAATTTCTATTATTTCGATAATTTGTGTCTCTATTGTATTTTCTAACATGCCCAAGTACATCTCGCCCGTCAAGTTTTCAGGCACAAAATAAAGGTCCCACAATACGATTTCCGAAAATGACGGCCCACACATTTATGTTTTCACGATATTGCGGGTGTTCCTCTCGAAACAAATGTGGATTCGAGACACTCCGATATCGACAATTATGTCTATTTACAACACGATGGAAATAGAAGATACACCCATCGAGAAACAAATATTAAATAACAGATTTGCATGGTTGATTAAACGTTGCGACATTAAATCGCAAAACTCCAACCTACGATCAAAATCGCCTTCATTAAGCTTATGGGCAAGTTTTATCTTGTACGGTAAAATTTATTGTTTTTTAAAATTCTTTGTACTGTTGAGCGTGTAAATTCTGAAGTCCATTAGTGCTTTGGGTGTTGTCAAGTGCTACGTGTAGTAGTAGTAGTAGAAAGATTTATTTAGCACATTTGGCTACATAAACAGAATAATTGTAAACAACTTAGAACTAGTAAATTCAAGCCATATGGTGTATGATGTAAATGCTGGGCAACCTATAATTGTAGATTTAACAAGTGATTTCTCAATTTTACTTTAAATTTTGTCAAAGTTTTCTGGTCTTTTATCTCCGAGTATAATTTATTATATTCAATCAACCCTTGATGGAATACAGATTTGTAGCATATGTTATACTTTTTGGTCATTAAATGGAAGTCATCTTTATTTCTGGTATTATGTAAATGATGGTCGACATTTGATGATGTTAAATTAGTTAGACTTGATGGAAATATATTATTTTTTACTTTATAAATGAATATCATTACAAGATATTTGATAAAATTTTTACATTGAGCCATTTTAATTTGCTAAGCATTTGCCTAATTGGAGTATATTTATCTTTATTTAGTATTATTCTCATGCACTTATTTTGTAAAATTTGCAGTCTTTCAAAAATGGAATTATTTGCTAAATACAGAATAGTCGAACAGTACAAGAAATTTGGAAGAATGATGGTATTATAGATAATTTTTCTGCTATATGAACTCAGACATCCAGAAACTCTCGATAAATATCCCACTTTACTACTCATCTTATTTATAACTTTTTCATAATAAATATCAAAAATTAATCGAGAGTCAACAAAAACCCCCAGGTATTTAAAATTTTCTACGAATTCAATATCTTCACCATCAATATTCAGTTGAAAATTTGTACATTGTTTTTTTCCGATTAACAAGGCTTTCGTTTTACTTGCATTTAATTTTAGTCTGTTAGATGCTAACCATTTTGAGACAAGCTTCAAGTCTTCATTTATATAAGAGATACCAGACTGAATATTTTTAGTACTTATATAAATCATAGTGTCATCGGCGAAAATCTGCATTTTTTGACTATGGCAGGTAAATCATTTATGTATAAAATAAAAAGAAGTGGTCCCAGGATACTGCCCTGTGGAACACCCAACGTATTTTCAATTTTTGATGAAATAGTGTCATTAACTTTTGTAACTTGCATCCTTTTAGACAAATACTTTCTAAACCAATCTAAAACACTTCCTGTTATACCATATGCCTTCAATTTACCTAACAAAATATCTCTATCAATCGTTTCAAATCCAAAAATACTGTTATGACAACTTCTTCTGAGTCTATGGCTCTTCTCCAATTCTCAGTTACCAACTGGAAAGCTGTTTCTGTGGAATATTTTTTTCGAAAGCGTGCTTGCGCCTCCACTAAAATTTTGTTTTCTTCTATAAACTGCATTAATTGGTCATGCACTATGGACTCTAATAATTTTTCAATGTCTGGTAACACATTTACTGGTCTCATATCGCTGCATCTTTTAGAATTTTTTATTTTGGGAACTGGTGTTATTGTAGAGCATTTCAAATTTTCAGGAAAAGAACTGCTTCTCAGTGAACAATTGATCCAATTTAATACAGGATATCCCAAAATGTCGAAACAGTTTTTCAGCACGTTTTTAGTAGTGACTTCGGCACAGTTGTTATTTGATTTTAAACTGTTTACTTTTTTTCTTAGATAATTCAATGATACGTTGTGAAATTTTGAAAGTCTATGCAACATTTCCCCCTGGAAACTGATTTTCATATGGTCAGGTGCAGCATTGGCAGTACTCACAATATCAACAATACTTTGGACAAAATATTCATTTAGTTTGTTTGCAATCACCAAAGAATTTGTTTCGGTACCGTTTTCGAATTGAACTTGATTTACACAATCATGCGGCTTCGAATTGATCAGTCTTTTTAAAGTCTTCCACATCTTTACACTGTCGCACGTGTTATTATCGATTTGTTTATCGTAGAATTTCCTTTTTTCTTCTCTAATTACATATACACATTTATTCCTAAGAGTTTTATATACCTCCCAACCATCATTTGATTTTGTGAATATGCATTTATTGTATTGTTTGTCTCTCAAATTTTGAGCTGCCTTAATATCCTTGTTATACCAGGGTGTATTTTTTGTCGAGCAAATCATTTTTTTATCAGTTGCAAGATCTAAACAAGTTTTTATATTTCCTATTATGTTGTCATATATTTTTTCCATATTCTCACCAAAATTCCAATAGCAGCCAGCAAGTTCTCGTTCAAGTTTTTCGTACTTAATAGTATTTACGATTTTCTTAATTTTTGTATCAGAAAAATGTCCTGAGCTGGTGCAAACTTTTCGCTCGTACTTATTGAATTATTTTGCTCTTAGATATGTCAAAGACTACCGTCTTCTGGACAACTTGCCGTTTCGTCGAAATGAGGGGGGCACAGCAACAGTGGTGAATAGTTTCGTAGGGGCTGTACACAGTCCTCATTCTGCAGGCGGCAGCTGTAACGTGGACAAGACCTTGCTACAAAAAATGGTAAAGACTAGCATTACAGTAATATTTCTCGACTATTGTTATGTACAGGGTGATTCACAAGTCGTGACCAAAAATGAAACAACATACAAAGGGCTTCATTTTAAGGGGGGGTCTTCTATGATTAGTACGCCGATATTATTTTTATGTGTAATGGAAAGGCTTTAGCGAAAACAAGATCTCTAATTGGTGATACTTAAAGCAACAAAACTCATTTATAATGGTCTAAAAATTTACATGTGTCTCCCTGATGCTATCAGAGGTATTAGCGATTTGAAGATGTTTCGCCGTGGACTTAAAAACTTATTAATAAGTGCACTGTATGACAGACAATAAAGCATATTTATCTATCTATAATCAGTAGTTGAAAAAAAGCTGAAGCTAGTAGAGTGTGTAACCCTTAGGATGGTTTGCGGGTGTCCACAGACGACAAGCTGAAAAATTGTTTTGTTTGAAATTCTTTCTGGTTCTATAATTTTTTTTTGTGTCGCATCAGGTGCTGCTTGTGCTGAAATCGGTCGCAATAACGGTGAAAGAGACGAGGTCGGACAGTTCAGATAGCAGCGTTGGATCAGACGATTCCGACTTTCATCAGGATATGCAGTTGATCGAAAGGTCGATACGGGACGTGTTGAGGAAAGTGGAGACGTTTGTGAAGAACGGTTTGGATTTCCATCCTGAAACGCCGTTTCCGAAGGTAAGGAAACCGAATCACAACGTATTTTATTTAAATTACAGATAATACATTATTTGTTTATTTTTGATCGATTTGGCAGTTGTATTATGTCAAACTCTATTTTATACTGTTTATAACAGTGGCAAAATAAAACAGGTGTTCGATCACCTTCCTGTTGAAATTTTCCATGGTCGAAATAAATTCCTTTTCAATGGACAGCATCGACAACGCTAGTAGTAGTAGTAGTAGTAGTAGTAGAAAGATTTATTTAGCACATTTGGCTACATAAACAACAATTGTAAACAACTTAGAACTAGTAAATTCAAGCCATATGGTGTATGATGTAAATGCTGGGCAACCTATAATTGTAGATTTAACAAGTGATTTCTCAATTTTATTTTAAATTTTGTCAAAGTTTTCTGGTCTTTTATCTCCGAGTATAATTTATTATATTCAATCAACCCTTGATGGAATACAGATTTGTAGCATATGTTATACTTTTTGGTCATTAAATGGAAGTCATCTTTATTTCTGGTATTATGTAAATGATGGTCGACATTTGATGATGTTAAATTAGTTAGACTTGATGGAAATATATTATTTTTTACTTTATAAATGAATATCATTACAAGATATTTGATAAAATTTTTACATTGAGCCATTTTAATTTGCTAAGCATTTGCCTAATTGTAGTATATTTATCTTCATTTAGTATTATTCTCATGCACTTATTTTGTAAAATTTGCAGTCTTTCAAAAATGGAATTATTTGCTAAATATAGAATAGTCGAACAGTACAAGAAATTTGGAAGAATGATGGTATTATAGATAATTTTTCTGCTATATGAACTCAGACATCCAGAAACTCTCGATAAATATCCCACTTTACTACTAATCTTATTTATAACTTTTTCATAATGAATATCAAAAATTAATCGAGAGTCAACAAAAACCCCCAGGTATTTAAAATTTTCTACGAATTCAATATCTTCACCATCAATATTCAGTTGAACATTTGTACATTGTTTTTTTCCGATTAACAAAGGCTTTCGTTTTACTTGCATTTAATTTTAGTCTGTTAGATGCTAACCATTTTGAGACAAGCTTCAAGTCTTCATTTATATAAGAGATACCAGACTGAATATTTTTAGTACTTATACAGGGTTATCCAAATTAAGTGTCCACCATTAGTAACTTTGTTATTAGTGAAAATACAAAGTTGTTTGAATTAGCAAACTAGTAGCATTTTTAACGCTGGTAAAAATGAGAAATAAAAAAAAACAATTGAGAGTCGTTATTTTGATTTTTTTCAGTAAAATAACATTTTTTTAAATGGAAACCCCTGTATATTATATTTTTTTGTGTTAAAGCATCAAATTTTAAACAAAAAAGCTTACAATAACTTTTCTCCTAGGTTACAAATTGTTGAAGTTATGGCCTCCAATCTGAAACAATTAAATTGTATCGACAAACTTTATTTTCAACATCAACTTATAATCTTACAAAATACAATAACAATTTTTTTTAAAGAAGATGCTCGAAAACACCACCTTGTTCTTCAATACATTTTTGGGCACGTTTTTCAACTGCTCGAACTGTCTTAAGTACGGTCCTACCATCTATCTGGGTTATCTTTTCCCTAACTGCAGTCTTTAACGCGTCAAGGTTATCGTACCTTCGCTTGTAAATTTGGTTCTTTAAGTAACCCCACAAGAAGTAATCAAGTGGGTTTAGATCTGTTGATCTGGGAGGCCACTGTATTGGGCCATTTGTTCCTATCCACTGATCATTAAAAGTAGTAGAAAATGATAAGTACCTCTGGAGTTGTGGGCAGGTGCGCCATCTTGCTGAAAATGCAGATGATGTCTACTTATAAGATCCAATTCGTCTAAGAAATTAGTCAGAATTTCTGACATAAATTCCACATATCTTTCACCAGTTAGGGTTCCCTCATAAAAGAACGGGCCAACAATTTTTGAACCAATTATACCGCACCAAACGTTGAAACTGAAACGGACTTGTGGGCCTCTTGGATGTACTAACAAAAGATTTTCTCTTGACCAATAATGGTGGTTTTCTCTATTAAACATTCCAGAATTTGAAAAATTTGATTCATCTGTCCATAAAAGGTAACGAAAGTTATTTATTTACATTTTGGCGACAGAAGCTAAGATACCAATGGCAAAAAACAAGTCTTCTCTCTGGATCCCCTGCCAAAAGCGTTTGAACTGGTCGGTAATTATACGGAATAAATTTGTATTTTTTTAAAATCCTTTGAACAGTACCATAACTGAAATTAGAGTCCTTGAGAATATCTGCTATTGAATGCTCACGATAAGCTTCAAAATATCCAATAACTGCAATTTCCGTGGCCTCGCTTATTATGAATTCTTTTTTTGCCCTTGTTTTAGCAAAAACATTTTCGTTGCCCCTAAATTTTCGATGAAGTCTCAGAAAATATCGTTCATACGGTTGAATGCGAGCGGGATATAATTCACTGTAGTATTCTCTTGCTCTCAAGGAGGATTTTCTGCACACTAAATAGCATTCTAACATATCACACTTTTCTTCATGGGAGAACATTTTTCTTTAAATTAATGACACAATAAAGCTTATAAACAAGTATTTACACTAATGTTTGACATTATTTGATTTTATCATTGTTTTCCAAAGCCTTCTAGTTGCGAGTATGTCCAGTTTAACAATTTGTCGCTTATCTTAATGCTGTCAAATCGCGAACGCCATGTTGTTTTCATAGCCGTCTTAATATTATAATACTGCAAATAATTAAAAATATTTATCGTTATTTTGACTTTATTTTTGACTTTAGCGGAAAAGTCATTATGAACTTTTTTGTTTAAAATTTGATGCTTTAACAGAAAAAAATATAATATACAGGGGTTTCCATTTAAAAAAATGTTATTTTACTGAAAAAAATCAAAATAACGACTCTCAATTGTTTTTTTTATTTCTCATTTTTACCAGCGTTAAAAATGCTACTAGTTTGCTAATTCAAACAACTTTGTATTTTCACTAATAACAAAGTTACTAATGGTGGACACTTAATTTGGATAACCCTGTATAAATCATAGTGTCATCGGCGAAAATTTGAATTTTGCATTTTTTGACTATGGCAGGTAAATCATTTATGTATAAAATAAAAAGAAGTGGTCCCAGGATACTGCCCTGTGGAACACCCAACGTATTTTCAATTTTTGATGAAATAGTGTTATTAACTTTTGTAACTTGCATCTTTTTAGACAAATAATTTCTAAACCAATCTAAAACACTTCCTGTTATACCATATGCCTTCAATTTACCTAACAAAATATCTCTATCAATCGTTTCAAATGCCCTCTTCAAATCCAAAAATACTGCTCTGACAACTTCTTCTGAGTCTATGGCTCTTCTCCAATTCTCAGTTACCAACTGGAAAGCTGTTTCTGTGGAACATTTTTTTCGAAAGCCTGCTTGCGCTTCCACTAAAATTTTGTTTTCTTCTACAAACTGCATTAATGGGTCATGCACTATGGACTCTAATAATTTTTCAATGTCTGGTAACACATTTACTGCATATCGCTGCATCTTTTAGAATTTTTTATTTTGGGAACTGGTGTTATTGTAGAGCATTTCAAATTTTCAGGGAAAGAACTGCTTCTCAGTGAACAATTGATCCAATTTAATACAGGATATCCCAAAATTTCGAAACAGTTTTTCAGCACGTTTTTAGTAGTGATTTCGGCACAGTTGTTATTTGATTTTAAACTGTTTACTTTTTTTCTTAGATAATTCTATGATACGCTGTGAAATTTTGAAAGTGTATGCAACATTTCCCGCTGGAAACTGATTTTCATATGGTCAGGTGCAGCATTGGCAGTACCCACGAATTGAACTTGATTTACACAATCATGCGGCTTCGCATTGATCAGTCTTTTTAAAGTCTTCCACATCTTTACACTGTCGCATTTGTTATTATCGATTTGTTAATCGTAGAATTTCCTTTTTTCTTCTCTAATTACATATACACATTTATTCCTAAGAGTTTTATATACCTCCTAATCATCTAAGCTGCCTTAATATTCTTGTTATACCAGGGTGTATTTTTTGTCGAGCAAATCACTTTTTTATCAGTTTTGTATTTCTTTCGAAGTTCTTTTAAATATTGAAGCATTTTTTATGTGTTCGCTTAAGGTTGTAACAAGCTCAGCAGAAAAATTAATCAGTCCACGAAATATTCCCGGGTTTTGGGAGCTCTTAGTTTCGTCGTGGTCCCGTAGCACCAATTCTAATGCTCCGCAAAATTTTATACAATCGATCATTTTTGATAGAACGTACCTGTTTTTTGTAACTGTATCATTATGCTGTTGTATATTTCTCCCCACTAAAGCCAATTCCATCGAATTATGAAGATGTGTTTTAGAGTTTTCATGCTTCTTAATTTTTTCACTCAGGTGCACTAAATCTGTAACACCTATCTCCGTCCAAGCTTTTTCACCGCCGAAAAGTATGCACGAAAGCAGAAAAGGGCATTCTTCCTGTTGCACCCACAAATCCAGTCATTTCTAATGTAAATCTCCCTGCTGAAATGCCGCGTATAGCCCTTGCCCCGACTAACGCCCTGAAATTTTTCGCATTCAAATTGTAAGCCACGTCACTCGACAAGACCAATATGCCAATACCGCCGAGGACCGACCACCGACCGACCAATCAGATATCGTACTTCGCATTAGATCTGTACGGACCTGTATAACTTGCAGCACATGCTTATGCTTAAATCGCGCATTTGATTTTGTAGAGAGAGACTTAAGCAAGCGCGTGCGGCTTGTGTCGTGTTTTTTTCACTTCTTCTCTCGACTCTGGATCGGGGCGTTTTGATGGCAGCTTAGTATTTTCTGGGTCCGCTTTCGATTCGCATCTTAATTTTTTTGTCTAGAAATTTTCAAAGAATAAACCTGAAAAATGATTAACGCGTCGTTAAAAAGCCGGTAACTTCTCTACGGCAAAGAGAAAGGAAATCAATTACCGAGATAGGTTGTTTCCGTTAAAGGCACCCGTTTCGAATAAAAAATTTCAAACGTCGGAATATTGGCCTTTTTTGGGTCTCAAACGTGATGTTCGAAGTTCAATTTCTATCTCCTCCGAAGATAACGGAGCTATGGACCTAACGATTTTTGCGTGAGAAAGCCCAGACATTGGACATTTGGAACGCGTTTTTTTCTAGTTCTTTAGTCCTTTTCGATCAAAAGTTTCGATTTTTTTTAGTTTCTTGACAAAATGCTGCTTTTCGTGACATGACCCTCTACTTTCGATCTTTTTCATACTTTCGGTTCAAGTTTTGCAAAGTGTGATAGCCCGTTTTGATGCTTTTGAAACGCTCTTCCACACTTGCTTAACCGTTGTTGAGGAAAAAAAGTGCAAAATATTGCAAAAACCTATCAATATAATTTCAATTTAAATCCGCGAGCGGAACGTCCAAAACGTGCCGTTATTGGTACATTTTTCTTTGCAGGTGCTGGTTCGCCTGTTTGAAGATCAAGACGACTACATGATAGAGTCGATGGTTTGCACCCTAGACGTTACCGTAGGCATATCGTTCAGGCGGAGAGACGCCGTCTTTCCAGATCTGCTGGGCATGCTGGATCCGGTTCGGTCGTTTTGCGAATTTTTGGCTGCTGTTGGGCATGACCCAGACGTACTATTGGACTATCTGGTAAGATTTTTTTTTGCTTTATGCGACAGGTATTTAAGTTCACAGGGTACTCTAGGTGAACTATGTTTATTAAATAGGAATTAACAGTTATTTTATCCACTAATTAACATCACCGAAGATCATGGTGACATATTTAATGTTATGATAAACTTTTATTGCTCTCCTCAATAATCTTGGAAAAAAATGCAATTTTGATTTTTTTTCGAAATTTTAAAAGAAGTGGATTTTAATGATTCATGATTTGGACATTTTGAACAAAGCTTTTGAAAACGTTTTGGAAATATCGAAATTATAATATAGCAACGTGTTTTTTTCGATTTTTTTTTCGGAAAAATTATGTGTAAATCTTCAACGAAATGAACGTATTTTTTTCCAGGTGAGTAACGAGACGTGCTTCCTCTTATACCTGCTGCGCCTGCTGAAGCACGCGAAGCGCGACTGGGCCCGTTTTGTAGGCGGTTGTGTCGACAGTTCCGGTTTGGACGACACCATGACCGTTCTGATCAGGCTCAAGACACAAATCGGTCGACTAGTGTCCAAGGACTTGTTCCCGTACAATATCACGCCCGTTCTGCGATTGTTGGAGACGTGCGAGAACTTGTACGAGGGTAACGAGTTCAGCTGATGACAGGTAGAGGCGTACGTTTGTTTCAGTCAGTTCCAGCATCTACCAGTTTCTATTTGAATATCATCCATTTATTTTGTGCTCAGTTGCTTTAAGCATTGTAAGTTGAAATTACACTACTCAAAAAAATTAAGGCAGCGTGAAAAATTTTTCTGTGTTCTTTCACAGGCTGTATTTTGGTAAAAAATGATCGTATCTAGACTTAAAAAAAAGCATTTTGTAGCTTCAAGTTTCTAGTTTTCAGATTGTTTAGCAGAAAATTTTTAGGAGCAACGGTTCTCATGCAGTTTTAGCAGATGGCGCAAGAAAATTTGTTTGCAAAGTGTTTGCCTTTTATTTCTCCGTCCACGGCTTGAAACAATTTTTTTCTGTTAAGCTAGCATATGGATCAAATAGATCGTTTATTCAGCATCAATACCCTGTTTTTAAAATAGCGATGCTATAATTTGGCGCGGAGATATCTGGATTTGAACGAAAAAGGATCCTTTTGTCAACGACCACCAATATCTCGATAACCAGTGATCACACCAAAAACTGAGACAAATCCACTGTAAGATTTCATTGCAATTTTTGAGGAAAATGTAAGGGTACTGCATTTTCTGTGCGATCACTGATTATCGAGATATCGGTGATCGATGACAAAAGGATCCTTTCTCGTTCAAAGTCGAATATCCCCGCGCTAAATGATCGCATAGAGATTTTAAAAATAATATATTGAAGCTGAACAAACTGACTTTTTGATCCATATGATGGCGTAAAAGAAAAAAAATTGTTTAAGTTGTGGACGAAAAAAAGATCAAATACAGTGAAAGCTCCCATAAGCGGACACTCACGATTCCGTAACTTTTGTCCGCTTATGGGAGGTGTACCGTTTAAAAGAGAGTATGTAAGTATAGAGTATAAATAACGGGGTATATAATCATGAGGACATGAGGTATTATAATCATGAGAAAAATGAAACAGAAACTCGCCACATTTTTAAAGTATGTATTTATGCTATATATCTATATAATATATGTACATATACGCATACAAAAACATAAATGCTTCAATACATGGTACGAGAATTTAAAAAAAACATTATTCTTTAGCTTGTTGAAAAAAGTTTAAAATGGTTGTCTGACGAAATTTCACCATCTTTTGCTGAAGGAGACAATTTTCGTAATAACTTTCTAAATTTTTCAAATGTTGAAATGCAGTGAAATCATCTTTAGCAAATTTTTTTAATATAGAAATATGATTTAGAGCTTCCCCATATAAATTTATCGTTTTTGAACCAATTAGTGAGTCCACCAGTTCCACTTCTTCTTCTGAGTCGTTTGGACTACCATATTCAAGTTGGCCTGGGCTTTCTACATCCAAATTCGAAAAGTTGCCAATGGCATTTTCTTCTGTTGTTATGTTATTGTCTATGGCCAGGAAATCATCTACTTTCTGGGGATATGCTACTCCTAAATGTTTGGCATGTCGCAGTAACTGAGCAAGTGTCGCTAAGGGCAGATCGTCTTCAGCATCGCAATAATTTTGCTCAGCAAATTCTGAGCTACATTCACTTTTTCTGAATCCAGCTTTGCCAAAAGTTTTTAATTGTAGAGGAATTTACTTTATTCCATGCTGTTTTTATAAAATACAAAGCTTCTAACACATTGATAGACTTTGTAAGCTCAGATAAGCTTTGACCATCGTCAATTTTTGTTAAAATATGTTTTAAAATCAAGTGCCGATAATAAAATTTAAAGTTCTGTAAGACACCTTGATCCATGGGCTGACAAACAGAAGTTGTGTTTGGCGGTAAAAATATAATTTTCACATTTTTCATTTTCGTATCACGAGGATGAGAGCATGCATTGTCTAAAAATAAAAGAACTTGCCTTTTTTGGATTCTCATTTTCCGGTCGAATTCGACTAACCACTCAGACATGATTTTTCGGGTCATCCATGCCTTTTTGTTGGATTTCCAAGTCGCTGGTAGATCCTTAATAGCAACGTTTTTTAAAGCACGGGGACGAGCCGCTTTCCCGATCACAATCAAATCGCATTTTTCACCGGCCATATTTGCACAGAATAAAATGGTTAGTCTATCTTTAGACAACTTTCCACCCACACATGTTTCTCCTTTAAAGGACAGAGTTTTGTCGGGCAATGCGCGAAAAAAAAGTCCACTCTCATCTGCGTTGTACACATCTTCTGGTTTGTAGCCAAGCAACATGGACGGAAGTTTCTCCAAAAATTGTGACACATCAACTTGATCTACTGCAGCAGCTTCGCCAGATATGCATTTGAAACTCACACTATGTCTCTTGCGCCACTTTTGCAGCCACCCGTCGGACGCACTGAAATTGTTATGGCCCAAAGTAGTGGCGATTTCTTTAGCTTTCATTTTCACTAACGGCCCTGAGATTGGAATGTTCTGACTTCTAGCTTTCACAAACCACTCAAAACATGTTTTGTCTATAGCAAAACCTTCCTTTTTTAAAAAATCCTTCTTTTGATTTATATTAGTTCCTGATTGCCATTTACTCCTGATATCTTCCTTATTTTTGGCAATTTCAGCTGCTTGCGTTTTCCCAATATTAAACCTCTTTGCCAAATGACGAACTGAAACACTTTCTCTGTCTAATACGTTAACAACTTCCATCTTTTCCTTTAACGAGAGCATCCTTTTTTTGGTGCCATTTTACAGTTACAATAATAAAATACGTAACTCAATCAACTACGAATTTGCCTGAACTGAAGACAATCCACAAGATTACATACAGGCTACCCAACGAAATGCGTAAATGGGGAATCACCTAATATAAATCGGGGAATTACCGAATTTTATGTATGTAGATATGTGCATTGCAATAAGCGGAACTAAAAAATCGTCCGGGTATTAGAGTTTCGCGTCCGCTTATGGGAGATTTTTTGATCACATACAGGAAAATCTAGTGTCCGCGTCCGTTTATCGGAATGCATTTAACATTGAAAATTGATGGCTGAAATTCGGTTCCAGGAACTTTGTCCGGTTAAAAGAGATGTCCGCTTATAGGAGCTGTCCGCAAGGAGAGCTTTCACTGTATTTGCAAAAAATGTTCCTGTCGCTATCTGTCAGAATTGCACGAGAACCATTGCTCCTAAAAATTTTCTGCGAAAAAACCTGAAAACTAGAATCTTGAAGCTTCATAATGCTTTTTTGAGAGTCTAGATACGACTATTTTTCACCGAAATACAGACTGTCGAAAATCACCGAAAAATTTTTTTTTGCGCCTCCAAAAATCTGTTTAATTTCTATCCAGAGGGTTGATTCTTGGAAGCGTGGGAGTAGAAAGTTAACGGCTTTTCTATCAGTTATTTTACTCCCTTGTTTTCAAGAATGACTCCCCGGAATCTTCACTCTGTTCTATGATTCTGCGTAACCTACTTTCAAGCTTATTTCCCTCCAATTGTAGGTAGCTTTTTTATATCTGTTATGCTTATAAGATGTAGCAGGGCATTTACATTTGATATTGATCTCCATTTTTTCTGGATTCTTTTACCTCAATAGCAACGATTTATAAACTACAGAGTGTTTTCCAACTGAATATCAATAATTTATGGGAGCGCTTTTTGGATATATTTTAAGAAGAAAGCTTCATATGAACACGTGTTCTAAACATATTAAATTTTGTGAGACAGAGTGCTAAAGTTTTTAAAAAAAATTATTATCGTGTAAATACCACTTTTGATATTTTAATGTATCAAATTTATTTTATGTAAAGTGCGATGCCAATCACTTTATACAGCAGACGCTCGATAATGTAAACTAATTTAATCCAAGTGTAGTTCACATTATCGAAATGTTTACATTAGCGAACGTGATTTATATAATATTTGATTTTTTAAAAGAAACGTTTAGTACATACTATTTATAACAAAAAAGACAAATATTCTAACAGCGATAAGTATTTTTTTAATTAGAAGAAAAATAATTAACAATTTTTGTCTGCGTAAATTTGCGCTTAGCATTGTCTTCCAAAGCCGGCGCCCGTAATTTACGAACAACTAAAATATCCATGTATGAAACTTATTTTCTTTCAGCCCAATCTAAAGCTTGGTTAAAAACTTGTATAGCTTGCGCGTCAGTCACTACACTTCTGACTTCAATGGGATCGTTCTCATCATCCTCACTGTCCATATCCTCCTCCTTATCAGCATCATTCGTCTGCTTATTTTCGTTCCATAAATTAATATCGGCAGGAGTACAAACAATGTTGGGATTCACTGTTTTCAATAAATCAACAACATCCAATGACACACTAATAACATTATCATTATTGGATCGCAAACGTTCTCTAATTACGCTTAAGGGGACATCGTCTTCTTCATCATCTTCATTATTGGTACAAAAGAGATTGTTCCAACATTTTTTTTGAATAGTTTGCTGGTTAAGTTCATTCCAGGCCATATCCTCCTGAGACCCAGACATGTTTTTCATAAGTTAGAGTTGTGACGTTTTTAAATATAACAGAAAATACATTAACAAACATTCTTTACTGAGGACATTTTTTATTTTTTTTCTTATTTTGAAAGATACATGACGTCCATTAAAATGGACATTGGGTCTTAACCTATACAAAAATGCCTAATGTATAAGTTATTTAGATGGTTAAAAATACATTTAAAATTAAAACTTAAACTTATAAGAACATAGAAAATAAACGTAAACTTAAATTTATCTGTTATGGAACTCTATAAAGCAGTTTCTGTAGCCAGTTATGCATAAGAATGTGTTACATCTATTACAAAAAAACTTCGTTTTTTTAGTACAACTGTCATTTTTACATCGAACCGAATTTCTTAAATCTGAGGCAATTTCTGGGTAATGTTCTTTCCGCTTTCTTTCGGTGCCTGCTGATGGTGAATCAACAATGATATTACCCTCAGGATTTCTTCGAGTTCCTATACCTCGTATATTTTCTTGGAAAATGTTGGATTCATTTTTCAAAAGGTACGTGGCAATTTCGATTTTAAAATCTAGATACTGCTGTATTTTTCGTGTAGAGGTTTGAAATATCTTTTTATCTCTTCGATAAAAAATCCATGAGTTTGCCAATGCTAAATCAAAGAAATGGAAAATGACTCTCACAGTCCATTTTTTTGATCTGGCTTGAATTCTGTAATAGCTGATCATTCGGTCTATCAGGTCAATTCCTCCCATACAATCGTTGTATTTAGCAACAATGTAAGGGCTTGCAATTTGTATGTATTTAGAGTCTTTCTTAGACCACCGTTTACACTCATCACTAGGTTGAATTCCTAGACGAGTAGATGTCAAAAGTACAGATTTCAGGTCATACCACTGTACAACCACTATTTTGCCATCTTGCCTTACAATTTGTTCCGAGCTACCTCTACCTATCTTGGCCATCATTTTGTCTGAAGTTAAATGTGCTGCCGCTGGTACACGAGATTTCATAATCGTTCCAGTACAATATTTCTTTTGTTGGCGAAGATATTCAAGAAGTGGTATTGTCGTAAAATATCTATCGCAATACACATGAGTTCCAGGAAATAATGTTCTTCCAAGACGAACAACAGCAGAAGGTCCAACACCAAGTCGTTTTACAGAATCATCTGGAGACGTATTTTTTTCTTGATATAGTTCAAAGTCTACGACAAGACCATCAGGAGCAGCAACAACAAAATTTTTCAATCCCTCTGGATTGGGTTTTCCCCTAACAAACTGCTTCATTTGACAAGTTCCAGTGAATGGTATCATCTGCTCATCCACAGCAACTACTTTCTCTCTGGGTAGCTGCAAGCACCCCTGCAATACTGCTTCTAAAATAGGACGCACTTTCCAAAATTTGTCATACCTGCGTTTCTCCTCAGAGATGCTGCCATCAATTACGACTTTGAGGTTACTTCTTATAGAAAAAAACCTATCTCGAGTCATAACATCCGCAATAGCTGCAACCCTCGTAGGTTTGGCCCAGTACATTCTGATTCTAGGATATTTTAGGCAGGACATTAAACAAATTATCCCAAAGAAATGTTTAATCTCATTAAGTGTCAATCTAAGGGATACTCCTTTAAGTTCAACATACCTTGCATTTGTGCAATCACATACTTTTTGGAACATGTCATCTTCTAAGTACATGGCAAAATACGATTTTGCAGTCCAACCATCGCGAAGCTGTGCGCTGCATTCACTAGACGGACCTTCAAAATTTGGAGGTGTAAAAGTATCATTCCTTCTCCAAAACTGTCGCTGCGAAGAATTGGGAGTTTGTTTGGCCGTTCTTAACTTTTCTCTAAGGACACTAAGAGGAATTCTGTCCTCTCCTTCCTCGTCACTGCTGCACACCAGGTCTTCATCATTTATTTCGTCCTCTCTCTGTACTAAATTATCCATATTTTCAATTTCATTTTCATCATCAGACATTTCAACGTCAGAATCATCGTTTGCAATGAGTTGTAGTATTTGCTCCAATTTTTCGTCATCTTCCCCTGGCCGAAGCACTCGTTTATTGCCAAAAATTGCTAAAATAAATTTTCCGAATAAATCAAAAATATTCATGAGATAGACCCAATGTCCATTTAAATGGACGCAAATAATTTAGGCTAGTACAAAAGTTATTTAAAATTTTTATTATTATAAAGCTGTTTAAATGTATCTATTAAACATTAACGAATATATATTTTCTCCTAAATCAGCACATAATGTTAAAAAATAGGTTACATACCATCTAAACGAGAATCACGTGCAGCCGCCATCACAACAGAAAACAAACTTACTGATTCACGGCGCAGGTGCGAGACTAAAGTCGGCCGAATCGGACTAGGCGGCAGCACGGAAGTGTCCAACGTAGTGGATGCGAGGTCTACGCTGCGTAAATATTAAATTAACGAAACTGGAAGTATAAAACTGCATGTCCATTTAAATGGACGCTGGGTCCCAGGAGGATAAGTAAATCTAAAACAGCTTCTCGTAATGTTACTTTTTTTAAAGCCTCAGATAAGTTTTCAGGATTTTTTGATAAGACAGACGAAAGTAGAAACTTCCTAGATATAGACAGCAGTCAAATTCCAAATCTTGTTTTGAATCGTTGTAGCCAGCCATCACTAGCTACGAAATTTTCAGTTTCTTTCAGTTTTTCATTTAACTGTCTCGCTCTCTGTTTAAGTACTTCGCCACTAACTGGGACATGATTTTCCCGTTGTTTTAAAAACCACTTATACAGGGAATTTTCCATTTTATTTGCCTTTGCATTTTTTAAAGTTTCTCTTCCCGGACCTCCAAATGTATTGCATGTTCTTTGTAAAATTTGAGTTTTCATACGCTTAATTTTACAGATTGTTGCTTTCGATACTCCATATTTTTTTGCTAACTGTGTCACTCCCGCACCTAGTGCAACTTCGTCTATGATTTTCACTTTCTCACTCAACTTTAAACACTTTCTTTTATAGGATGTGGATGCCATAGTCGTAAAATATATTAACGCATGCAGTGTATTCACTTAAGTTCAAAAATGAAATACATACGTACGTATAAACGTATCCTAAACGATCATACGACTGACCGAGTTTGTCGTATTTTATCGCAGAGGTGAATCCCCTACACTCTACATCATAAATCGGGGACTCCCCGACGCCCGACATAAATCATCAAGGCTTCAGCATTTTACCGTCGCGCTGTTTCCGTGCGCCGAGAGTTGTTTACGTTATCGAGCGTACACATTGTTTACGTTATCGCGCGTTCCGTTTGATCCTATAGAACGCAGTTTGTGTTTACATTAGCGCAAGTTTTCATTATCCCGTGTTTACGTTATTGAGCGTCTGCTGT